AATCAATAAAAATTATTGATTTGTACTTTAGAGTGATTAGATTGTATGATATGTATGCTAACGTCATATCATATTTAGTTTTTACGTCATTATATTGGTGAACTTTAAATGTAGACATTTTAAACGGTGTGTCATTTGACACGACGTACTATAACGTTGTTGTTTTTTAAAACTCGAAGTTTATAATCTTAAGCAAATTTTTACTAAGGTGATCAAAAATTAAGATGACAATGTAAGATATAGAAAAAGAAAATACATTGAGTGGTGAAAATAAAAAATTGTAATTAGACATAACGTCTTATGTATAAGTAAACTTTCTTAAAAATTAAAGAAGTTCAAGTCAAAAAGAAGTTTGATGAAAACTGTAATACTAAAGCGAACATGGGAAGGTAATCTGCTTGAGGTTAAACATCGCCATGTTTTCAAATATCGCGATGCAAGTCACGTTCTCTCCCCTCTTACTTAGTAATCGCCTCCTCTACCCATTGTTTACAAGACTCTTACAAAGAAAAAATATCCCACCCCTCTACTTGAGACATAAACTACAAAAGTGTATTGTGCCTTGTCGTCACATGAAACAATAAACCGGGAGTGATCTCCCCTAAACTTTCTCGAATATTCTTATATAAAATAACAGGGGATGGGAACTCGGGCTATAGACATGATTTTTAATCCATTTTAAATACTTAAAGTTTTAAAAATAGAATAAAATCTCGTAGACAAATTAATTGCACACCAAGTGAACGCCAAAGAAAAAAGCGCATAATGGTGCGCAATATTATTATTACTTTTAAAATTTACATTAGTTTTTTGAGAAATCGGAAGTAGCGTAAAGTACTACTTCCAGTCAACGGAAATGACTCAAAATTTGATAGAAGGTAGAGAATTAGATCTTTTACTTACATATGAAATTTCATTTATCTATCTGAAATAGTACTCAAGTTATAGGCTTTTGAAAAATTCAAAGTAGGAAAAGTACCACTTCCGGTTATCGGAAATCGCTCAAAAGTTGATACGGATCTACGATTTTGATAAAATACTTATATATGAAATTTCATCAACCTAGCTGTAACGGTTCTCAAGTTATCGTGTTTACACACGGACAGACAGACACACAGACACACAGACACACAGACAGACACACAGACATACGGACAAGATTGCAAAATTATGTTTTTCCGTATCAGTGAGGTGTGAAACGTCGAGATTTGTAAAAATCTCGATTTTTTTTTTTTGCACGATTACAAGACTTTCTCTATACTTCGTATATACGAGAAAGTAAAAATGGTGGCGTCTAATGTTGTTAACCCTTGTCTTCCTAAATTATTTTTAACTTGTTAAAGAAATTGACTGTTTAGTTAAGGATTCTGACGCGCAATTTTTTTCACAAGGGATGATACTCGTGGCTGTAAACAAGTCTGTTCTAATTTTAGAACAGTTGTCTTTCCTCTCGTTTCTCTATTAGGGAAGACATGTGGGGAAGACACACGATACGTCTTTTAAAATGTAAACAAACGTGCACAAGGTGCACTTAAAATAAACCCCGCTGTGAAAATGGCAACGGCCTGGTGACACTTTTTGGAAAACACGCTTTCATGTTAATAAAATAAGGGTCGCTTTTGTTGTCGCCATGATAATGTATACCTATAAGTTCTCTCCGCCTTTACCGACCTAGTATGAATTTCGCGCGCGCGCGTGTGTGTGTGTGTGTGTGTGTGTGTGTGTGTGTGTGTGTGTGTGTGTGTGTGTGTGTGTGTGTGTGTGTGTGTGTACGTGTATCTCAAAAAAGTGTATCATGTCAACACCTGGACAACCAGTCATAGTCAACAAGGCCTACTTCATTACAGATCTATAGGAAATCCCTCTTTACCTGTACTTACATTAGGAAAAGTAAACTCGTTTGAATAAAAAAATGTATTTAAATATATAGAGTTATAGAACCTTAAAGTTAACAGATGCTGAAAAAATAAAATAAAAAATTAAAATTAAAATCCGCCTCCTCACCCACCTCACTCAGGTGGTAGAGTCTTTTAGTATATATCCTTTACTCCTACTCGTGTTCCCCCCCTTCACCCACCTTCTCCACCTTCACCCACCTTTCACCCTTCACCCACCTGATAAGACCGTCACCCGTCTGCTTACACCCCTTCACCCATGTTACTATAAGCGAGTATGTATTGAACATTTGTTAATATTTCCCCCTTCACCCACCTGTTCACACCGTCACCCGCCTGCTTACACCCCTCACCCATGTTACTATAAGCGACTATGTATTGAACATTTGTTAAATTTATCTGGCTCAGGGTGGTCAAATGGTGGTCAGATCAAAAGAAAATCGGAACGGTCATAAAAAACTTAATTACTTTTCCAGACTTGTAAAAAACATGTCTACCCCCGCATACCTTACGTACCAACGCACTAAGTCGCCCCTGTCGCCCATTAAAAAGCACGAACCTACCGAGACCTCGTTTCGTCTCAAAACCTGATTTAACGTTGGTTGAAAGAAAATTAAAATTCCGACCCTTAAATATATTTTGTTTTCGTTGACCCTCGCTATAAGCGAATAGTTACAACCATTAATCTTTCATACATAGCAAGGGACGGTTCGTAGGACATGTGGAAACAAAAATTTTTAATTTGATCAAAGAATGACCGGGCGTACGATATGTGAACATAGTTCATGGACAGCTGTAATCTAATGAAAAAAGCCGAGAGCCGTGACTAATTACAGCACCAGCTGTTACCTAAGGGCTTCACGGAGCTGACAAATCGATCGGTTTTCGCTGACCTCGCTATAAGCGAATAGTTACCGATGTCGCTACACTTAACGTGGAGAGGCACTTAATGTACGTCGTTAATCATCATGACCTATCAACCCGAGTGGGGAAAAATCACTGATGCATAACAAAAATTTAATTAGGTGTGATGGCCCCGTGGGTGCGATCAATATTAGCTCGCCCGTTGTTTGACAAAAACAAAAGGATTGCAGATCGATAAGTAACACATGTTGCACGGTTGGTTAATGGATGTTATTCACAAAGTACACGCTAACGCACCCCTACCCTCAAACCCCATCATTACTCCCCCTCTCATCCACCAACACCCCTATCCGTTTACTATTAAACATACATACAATCAAATAAACAGTGTCTTTTATTTTAAATACCATACATCAAAGAAAAGAAATATATCAAATAAATAAATAAACAAAAGTAATTAAAATCAAATTACGTAACTAGTTAATAATAATTTAACTAATTATAAAATAAAATAAAATTAAAAATTAAAAAAATAAAAATAATTAAAAAGTAAACAAATAATCAAATTAAATTAATAATTTTAAAAAATTTAAAAATTTAAAAAAATTTAAAAAATTAAAATCCAATTACGTAACTCGTTAATAAAAATTACACAATATAAACAAAGTAATTAAATTAAACAACAAGTAAACAAACAAATTAAACAAAATAAAAATACAATCAAAGTAATTAAATTACGTAACTCGATAATAAAAATTAATTAAAAATTTAAAAACTCATTAAAACTCATTAAAAAAACGCATTAAAATTACGTAACTAGGTCAAAAATTAATTAAAATTTAAAAATTAAATTCAAACTAATTAAAAACTCATTAAAATTACGTAACTAGGTCACCTGCGGTGATTACGTCACAAGGTCACCACCGGTGACCTACTGACCTACTGACCTACTCCCCATCCGCATCCCTGCGCATCCTCCCCATCCCCATCCGCATCCCCATCCCCATCCCCATCCGCATCCCCATCCGGAGTATTTTACTATATCTCATTGTACCTGCGGTCTGCGCCTGCGCCTGCGGCTGGAGTATTTTACTATATCTCGTTGTACCTGCGGTCCCCCTCCCCATCCGAGTATTTTACTATATGTCGTTGTACCTGCGGCGCCTGCGCATCTCCCTGCGCATCCGAGTATTTTACTATATATCCTTTGCGCATCCTGGGTGCGCCTGCGCCTGCGGTCCAAAAGTGACCTAATATACTACTAATATACATGTGGTCATTCTTTGTTATTTTCTATAAATGCTCAATTTAAGAAAATAAAAATGCCCTTGCGCACTTATTGTGCGCAGTTTTCAGTTGCGCAGTTATTTGTTGCGCATCCACCCCTGCCCTAACTTTGGCCATAATCCCAGCCATAAATTTCAAAGTGATTCTTGTATAGAAATGACCACTTCCCTATACAAAATGTGAAGTTTGAATAGAAGACAATTTTGTTATAAACAAAATGTTCCCAAAAATGCCCTAAATTCATAAACTCAACGTAATTTTTCCAATAAAAGCCCAAATTTATATACACAACATCATATTTCCGCCAAAGCCCAAATTTCTGTACCAAGATTGAATTTCCTAAAAAAGCCCAAATTTAAATTCACATCATATTCCCGCAAAATCCCAAATTTCTGTATCAAGATTCAATTTCCTACAAAAGCCCAAATTTATATACACAACACTCAAAAGCTCTAATTTTCTATAACCCGCATTAATTTTCCACAAAAGCCTACATATATTTACCCAGCATGACTTTTCCAAAAACGCACACATTCCTATACCAGGTGAAAAGTCTACCAAACACCTAAATTTCTATACCCGGATACTCTTCCCACAAAGCACTATATTTACATAACCAGTTGAAATATCCAACAAAATCCCAAATTTCTATACCTAGACTGAATTTCCCACAAAAGCCCACATTTATGTGCACATCTGAAATTTCTAAAAAAAAGCCCAAATTTCTATACCCAGATTGAACTTTCCACAAAAAGACACATTTATACAACCAGCTGAAATTACTAACAAAAGCCGAAAATGTGTAAGTCTATTTCCAGCAATAATTTCCCACAAACACCCTAATTTTCTATAACCAGCATGAATTTTCCACATTTATTTATTTACCCAAATTGCATTCCCCGCAAAAGATGATGTCACAAAAACACGGTCCCAACAATAAAAAGCCACACTCACCTTAAGCACCATATGCACCGAGAACGCCAGCGACCAAGTGTGCACAGCGAGGAAAAGATAATGCAGCGCTGCTGTTGAAATTTTGCACATGATCTGTAGGCATCAACGGTGGAATTTTAACAAGGGCAATACAAGTAACACATTTTTCATTTTTTTTTAACATTTTTGTTTACGCCAGGCCTAGTAATATCTTCTCTGTTTAATGAAGTACTCAGCAGATGTAACTTTCAGTTTCCATGTAAATAATAAAAGGCTACAACTACACTTGATTGTAAGGGCGTGGTCTAGTTGTCGTGAGCTAGACAACTAACCCGAGAGTCTCGAGTTCGAATATGGTTTCGAATCAGTGGAACGACCCTGAGTCCAGGGTACCTAACTTAGTTGGGGAAACAAAGGCGGCTTGGCATAGTGCTGACCACTCTATCCCTTTATACGCCGAGGCCTCTGAAGCAGATGAACTCTACTTCATCTGCTCCATGTGTCTTGGGCACGAACGGGAAATGATGATGCTAAAACAGGTGAATCAATATCAAGACTTATTTACATAGTTTCAAACAAAGTGGTTTACAAAGTGGTTTACAATGTTCTCATAAGGGGATAAATAATCTCAGCAAAAAAAAATTAAAAACCTACTGTTTCCAAATACAATAATCGTAATTGTAATGATTATTATAATATACGTTGAGGTGGTTACAAAAACCTTTACCTTCTGAGGAAATGCATTTTCTGCTCCTGCAAAGGCCAGTTGTGCTCCAATGAGTGCTATACACATGTTACATACAGATAGGAGCGAGTCACTCCGTACCCTGAGGAATCATGGGTAAAACGAGGTGCTTATTAATAGTTAATTAATTATTTACATTATACGCGGTATAAAGCATTGTATCCGGGTATCCGGCGAGGGTAAATATAAAGGTATTGTTTTTTTTAATGAAGCAAAAATTAAATGAAATAGCTTAAAAACAGTTTTGAAACTGTCATCCGGAAGGATCAGGGTTTATTTCAAAATACATCACTCCGGGGAATGGGTCTTAAAACTTGCGGGGGTGGGGGGGATTGAAAGTAATGAAAATCCCGGGCGTGCTGACACTAATTATAAATTTTCTATATATATTATAACTTCTTTTTTCTATTTCTTCAGGGGGATGATTGATTCAACCCCCACCCCACTGAGAGATGGGGTGGGGGAGATGAATAAAAATAAAAATAAATACTGGGAGGGATTAAAATGCGTCAACATCTGCCACCCATAGCCACAGCTATGGGTTTATAGGGGTGGGTATGTATTGGTCGACTCACATGATGGCATCAGAGCTTGTCATTAAACTATAACTTTACTTACACTGAGGGGAACCAACAAGTCTCTTGGTGCCTTAGATTAGAGAGAATAAGAGAGAATAGCAGGGGGGGGGGCGTGGTTGGGGCAAACCGAAAAGTCCCGAGTTCGAGCCTTGGGCAGATGAGGCTTGATGGCTAGGGACAGCAACCCATCTAGGAGAGAAAACTCCAAAAGCAAATAATTGCTGCCTTGTAGTTTCTTTTTTGATGGACTAATGCTCTAGAAGCAAATTCAAAAAAAAAAGACAGGCTGAAATCGGAGACAGCGGTTAATTTTAGCGCATAGCAGGATGTCACGCAATACTAAATAGGTTAGAGGATTTTGTCCAATATTACAATTAAGGATTAAGAAGTATAAGAATAGTACAATTGAAGAGGGTTTAAAAAATTGTTAATTCTATTTTGTATTATTTTTAAACTATTAGAAATGTTGTGATTGGAGCTGAACAAAACTGATGTAGTTTGCAGTTCTATAAATATCTCTCATAATACCCGTTGAAAATGTCCAAAAACTTACGGTACATAGCAGATGAGAAAAACAGAGAGCAGCGCCCCAACAATCGACAGCCCGATACCAACTAATGTGATCCGTACCAGGATGTACTCTGTAATGGCTGGGAACTGTGAGACATATATATATATATATATATATATATATATATATATATATATATATATATATATATATATATATATATATATATATATATATATATATATATATATATATATATATATAAAGATATGTATATATGGTATATATATATATATATAATATATAGGCCTATATAAACTGTTTATTGTATATAATATAGAGGCCTTAATATGTATATATATATATATATATATATATATAAAATAACATATATATGTATGTGTGTATATATATATATACATATATACATATATATATATATATATATATATATATATATATATATATATATATATATATATAACCAAAACACAAAAACATATTTTTTATAGTCGGCTTCTTCACTATTTTATTCTGTAAGTTAATTTACAGTCTGACCCCCCCCCCCCCCCCCCCACCCCCTCCAACACCCTCAGTGTGGCCCATCCCTCATCCCATATCCCAACCACCCATTCTTACTTTAGATTTAAAAATAACATTAATGTCGACATTAGACAGGCTTTGGCACATTCTTTATTTAGATGTATATAATCGTATGTTACAATTCTACAGTATCTTAGTTTTCCACTCACCTCGACCACCTGTGTGTGCATCAAAAATCCGTAATTTGCCAGATCTGAATCGTTCGCCCATGGCTGAAATAAAAAAGACCAAGTTCGTCGTAAATAGACGTCAAGGACTGTATTCCCTCAAAGAGGATTTCACTAATTCAAGATTAATGCTAATTCGAGTCACCATTTACGAAAAATTGTAACATTTACTGCCTAAACATCGTTGTATCCAGTTAAAATAATAAAAAATTCATTAAAAAACGTTTTAATAACAAGCTTTTATATACTAATGCACTAAAAAGTAGAAAATAAATTATACACTACTATTTAAATTACTATAAAGAAAAGCGTGGGTCACTTTAGTACTTTAGTACCTATTGGATACCTTTACTAATATTTGAGAAGAGACCCACGCTTTTCTTTATAGTAAATAAATTATACACTACTATTTAAATTACTACAGAGAGTAACATTTTTAAACCAAAGTGTTCTAATTACTTTTTTTTTAAAGTCATTTTAACAATACTTGCCATTTTGTTGAAGAATAATATGGAGTTATACAAAAAGGAATAAAGAAAAAGATACAAATATCCAATAGTTTTGCGTTAGCTTGTTCCCCTAAAATTACATTAGTTACGTTCATTTGTCCCATAGGGCATACTCTTATATACTTGGTATTGTAATCCGATTGTAAGCTCCTCTGCGATTGGTCAATACCAGCTGTGTTAAGGCGGATAAAGGGAAGGGAGAACGTGATATGTTTGTGAAGGGGACGGGGAGGAGGGTGATGTATCATTGAGGCGTCATTGAAATGACAGTGTAGGCCAGGTATTTTTTGTGCTTGCACGTGTGACGTAACATGCGGCCGCGTGAGTCAACGTTCGTGACGTAACATCCGCTTGTTTGGCGTGATTTCGCGAAGTCTTTAAAAAGCTGGTAAAAACAAGAGTACACGTAGCGCTTAAAACAGTAGTTCTCAATATGTATAAAGTGTACCACTCGCACATATTTTTGGAGGATGTGGGGGGAGGGGATCCAAGTTAATTTTTTTTCTCGAGTAAAAGGGTCATCCATCAATGATGACGCGCTTATTTTGACGATTGTTACCTCCCCCTCCCATACGTCACATCGTCATACATACATAAGCCAGACCCCACCCCTTTACCATAAACTGACGTCACACCTCAGACTACATCCCCCTCAAAATTTCATATGAATTTGTTTTAAACATGGGGTTTTTTTTTCTAAAATTTTGACTGAGCTCGGTTAACATAGAGTATTTTGAAATCAATTTCAATTTATGAAAACTGTTGACTAAAACGCGAACTAAACACTTATCCCACGTCGTCACAAAATTACGGACCCCCTCACCTTCCCCTACGAATGTGACGTCATTTTTGGAATACCCCCAAACCAGGCAGACAGCAAAGAAACGTGGATATGTTGGACTAAGCTAATCCCTTAAGAATTTCAAGTAACCGGTTGTTTTCTTTTTAATTGGAAGATACTTTAAAGCTGTTTCGAATTATCAAAAAGCGCTGGTGAAAATCAGCGTTTCTTCCAGATTTTTTCTCCGTGTAGAGGGGGGGGGGGGGGCACTTGAAATTTTCGGGGAGGGGGCGGAATAAAATTTTAGGGGGGGGGGGGGGGCGGACACTATTAAAAATATATAATTTATATTTAAATTCCATTTCGTTCGATGGGGGGGGGGTGCTCTTGGAAGAAACACTGGTGAAAATGCCTCGTGCCTATCTTCAATAGAGGAACTCGTCTTAGCAGTCACCCCCGGCTTCCGGCAGCTGTAGTCTTGCTTTACTTCCCTTTAAGGATTCGCTGCCAATGCTCGAGCTACTGTTGTTCCGTATGTTAAATTTTACAAACGAAATTTCTGCTTAAAGTCGACCGAAATCCGTGGTTGCACAGTCACAATAAGGGTTTCTTTCAGGCATCTTTGCCGCCAACCCAACCCCACCTGTCGTAAGAAATAGAACGTATAAATAATAAACCGGGAGTGATCTCCCTAAACTTTCTCGAATATTCTTATATAAAATAACAGGGGATGGGAACTCGGGCTATAGACATGATTTTTTAATCCATTTTAAATACTTAAAGTTTTAAAAATAGAATAAAATCTCGTAGACAAATTAATTGCACACCAAGTGAACGCCAAATAAAAAAGTGCATAATAGTGCGCAATATTATTAGCACTTAAAAAATTTACATTTGTTTTTTGAGAAATCGAAAGTAGAGTAAATTACTACTTCCGGTCAACGGAAATTACTCAAAATTTAACTGAAGGTAGAGAATTAGATCTTTTACTTACATGTGAAATTTCATTTATCTATCTGAAATAGTACTCAAGTTATAGGCTTTTGAAAAATTCAAAGTAGGAAAAGTACCACTTCCGGTTATCGGAAATCGCTCAAAAGTTGATACGGATCTACGATTTTGATAATATACTTATATAAGAAATTTCATCAACCTAGCTGTAACGGTACTCAAGTTATCGTGTTTACACACGGACACACACACACACACACACACACAGGCAGACACACAGACATACGGACAAGATTGCAAAATTATGTTTTTCCGTATCAGTGAGGTGTAAAACGTCGAGATTTGTAAAAATCTCGATTTTTTTTGCACGATTACAAGACTTTCTCTATACTTCGTATATACGAGAAAGTAAAAATGTATATTGTGCATTGTTTCTCTCAGACTTTATTTCTCATATGGTTCTTACGATATAGTTTCAAATTTGTATCAGAACTCATCTCTTAAATGATACTTTTTTTTTTAAATGCCCTTTATTTTATTTTATTTTTTTTTAATATCTCCTTTCAGTAAGTTAAGTTTCTTTATTTTTTTTTAGTATAGTCATTTATTTATTCGGAAACTGACCACAATAAATATCCTGTACAAATATATATAGTAGTTCATGCCTAAATATTTTGTATTCTGTCAATCTGTGACACAAAAATAGATCCCAAAAATTGTTTTCATTGTAAAAAAATTTTAATCAGCTGTTTGTGGCCATCATGAGCATGCTCTTGGTTGACTACTGTTCAACTTTCTCTTCTTTAACACCATCAGCAAAGAAATACACAAAGGGTATTTCATCTGTTTCACCAGCTGGGGCTTCCCATCTGACTAAGGCAATGCTTCCATCAGGATTACTAGAAGATCCTGTGAAAAACTCGTAGTCGAAATTTGCACAAACTATCTTGAATGTGTTTTGAATTTCTTTCCGCCATGCGTCAACATCACATTTAGCATCATTCTCCTTCTTGTTCTCTTCTATACGTTTGACAAAATCCTTAAAATATGCTTGGAATTCTTTCTTTGATCCAACAGATCTAGGCATAAGCCTGTTATCTAGCACAACATCAATGCTAGATGTGGAGTTTTCAGTTAAGTTTCATTTGAAATGTAAAACCACTGTACAATCCCTATTCATTATTTTACATTTATTTAAATTATATTTTTATAAAAAAATAGCTTTATATATAAATACAGTTCTTTTATTAAAGAACACTTAACTTAATTAAACAACCGAGGTGACTCTTGGGGATTGAAACGAATTAATTGCATTTCAATTCATTTTAATGAAGAAAATATCTCTGAGATACGAATGAATTGACATACGAGCAAAGCTTAAAGAACGTATCTCGAAGTATCACTATAAACTTTATTCTCTCCCTTGGTTCTAAACTAATTGATTTTCATTTTTACTTTCTCGTTTATACGATTAGTATAGAGCAGGGGTTCCCAACCCTGTGCCCGCGGGCGCCATGGCGCCCGCTGAACGATTCTTATGTGCCCGCCTCTCACTATTCGACAGAGACAGAATTTTTTTCATAAACATTTTAAAATATGATTTATTTTTATTCATTTGTTACAGTTTTAATTTTAAATACGCTCCTAATTATGAAGCTCTGGCCAATGAAATGCAATGCCAAAGATCACATTGACTTTATTATATTTTTTAATTAATATGCTTTCTTTGTATTTATGTGTTTTGTTAACTTTCTTTACGTTTTGTAAATACATTTCTCTGTGTGTATGCAATTTGAAAAAAATGCCAAATAATTTTATTATTTTGAAACATTTTTGTTTATTATTTATTAATACATTATGGCTATAAGAAAATAAGAAAATAAATTATGGGAAAATGACAAGTTATGGAAGGAGAGTTTTGTCGATTTAAAATAGGTGGTGCCCGCCACCCTACCGATATTTTAGAATGTGCTCTAGAGTAAAAAAAAAAGGTTGGGAACCCCTGGTATAGAGAAAGCCTCTCTGAGTCGGAAAAACATAGTTTTGCAATCTTGTCCGTATGTCTGTGTGTGTGTATGTGTGTGTGTGTGTCTGTAAACACGATAACTTGAGTACCGTTACAGCTAGGTTGATGAAATTTTATATATAAGTATTTTATAAAAATCGTAGATCCGTATCAACTTTTGAGCGATTTCAGATAACCGGAAGTGGTACTTTTTCTACTTTGAATTTTTTCAAAAGCCTATCACTTGAGTACTATTTGAGATAGATAAAGGAAATTTCACATGTAAGTAAAAGATCTAATTCTCTACCTTCTGTCAAATTTTGAGTAATTTCCGTTGACCAAAAGTAGTAATTTACGCTATTTCCGATTTCTCAAAAAACGAATGTAAACTTATAAAGTACTAATAATACTAATAATATTCCTCACTATTATACACATTTTATTTCGCGTTCACTTGGTGTGCAACTCTTTTTTCTACGAGATTTTATTCTATTTTTAAAAGTTTAAGAATTCAAAATGGATTAAAAATCATGTCTGTATCCCGAGTTCCCATCTCTGTTGTTTTATATAAGAATATTCGAGAAAGTTTATGGGAGATCACACCCGGTTTATTTCAACTGTTGCAGGCTGTTTGAAAATAGAATTGTAATATACATTGATCTCATCTAAAACTTTACTTCACAGTGGAATATAAACAGAATTCATAATTAATTGTCATGAAAATTGCGAAATATTTCCCCCTCGCACGTGCGGCATAAAAATAAGGATTTACATCTAACGTCTGATATTATAAGTAATGCTATTACGTCCGTGCAGACGAACAGATGAATTACGTCACATCACGTTTTTATACTTTGTTGCACGCGATGTTCCTCGTTGATTGCCACGTGTCATACGAGCGGACATGTGCCGAACGTGAGCTGGATAATGCCCCACTCGTCCCTGTTTTGCTTCAGGAATCGCCCATAAAAAACGTCACACTCCCTGTGAAGCTTTTTTTTAAGGGGGGGGGGGGGGGGGGGAGGGGTGTGCTAGGGTGTTAAGAAAGTGTTATAAATATTGAATTTTCACAAGTAAAATTACTTTAAGCAGTTGTTTTGTATTTTTTTACTTTCTCGTATATACGTAGTATAGAGAAAGTATTGTAATCGTGCAAAAAAAAAAAATCGAGATTTTTACAAATCTCGACGTTTTACACCTCACTGATACGGAAAAACATAATTTTGCAATCTTGTCCGTATGTCTGTGTGTGTGTGTGTCTGTCCGTGTGTGTGTCTGTCCGTGTGTAAACACGATAACTTGAGTACCGTTACAGCTAGGTTGATGAAATTTCATATATAAGTATTTTATCAAAATCGTAGATCCGTATCAACTTTTGAGCGATTTCCGATAACCGGAAGTGGTACTTTTCCTACTTTGAATTTTTTAAAAGCCTATAACTTGAGTACTATTTCAGATAGATAAATGAAATTTCACATGTAAGTAAAAGATCTAATTCTCTACCTTCTGTTAAATTTTGAGTAATTTCCGTTGACTGGAAGTAGTAATTTACGCTACTTCCGATTTCTCAAAAAACTAATGTAAATTTTTAAAGTACTAATAATATTGCGCACCATTATGAACATCTTTATTCCGCGTTCACTTGGTGTGCAATACTTTTTTCTATGAGATTCTATTTTATTTTAAAAAGTTTATGTATTTAAAATGGATTAAAAATCATAACTATATCCCGAGTTCCCATCCTCTGTTGTTTTATATAAGAATATTCGAGAAAGTTTAGGGGAGATCACTCCCGGTTTATTTTGGTCATATAATTAAAAATTGATAGATTTACCAAAACACAAGCCAATTTTTCTTTCACTTCAGAGCTGTGGGGCAGAGTTTCTTTCAGACATCTCTTCGGGGGGGGGGGGGGGGGGGGGGGGGGCTCTGCCCGAATGAAATGGAATTTATATAGAAAATATATACTTTTAACAGTGTAATAGATTGAAATAATTGTGAGGTCAAGGGAACTCACTCTTCTGTATTAGTTATATTTATAATATTGTTATCTTGAGTGATGTCCCTTGTGTACTTCCTCCCGTCCTCTCTGTGTGTTACCATCGTGATGTAGTTAGACCCATTAAATGTGTTATATACAACCACAGGCTTCTGTCGTCAATCTATTATAACTGGCGACGAAGGATAAACATCTACTAGAAAGAGCACCTACTTACGCAAAAAAGAGGTTTGCTAGAGCTTATTAGCTAATTATTTCTAGAATTATGGCGCTGTATGGCCAAATAAAAGAATTTGATGCGAATGATGAAATCATTCAAGATTACCTAGAGAGGTTAAGCTTTTACCTAGAAGCTAACGACGTGACGATAGAAGCCAAAAAGAGAGCTATTTTGTTAACAGTCATAGGGCCTCAACAATTTAGGCTACTAAAAGACTTATGCGCACCAGCTAGTCTAACTACCAAGAGCTTTAACGAGCTGAGCAAATTGCTAACAGACCACCATGCGCCTACCCCATCAAAGTTTTTATGTAGAGCTAGATTTGACAGTAGGACTCGTCAACCAAACGAGTCAATATCAGAATATGTTGCTGCTTTACGTCATTTAAGTAGATTCTGTGAATTCGGCGATACGCTGTCTGACAGACTATGTGAAAAGTTTGTGACAGGTGTAAACAGCCCTGATATTCAAAGAAAGTTGCTGGTTGCTGCTCGAGTCAGATCTAAAATTGGAAAAAGCAATACAACTTGCAATGTCATTCCAGCAGTCATCAGATGCGGCGAGATCTTTAGCACCTTCAGAGATCCATGCAGTAAACAGCAGGTTAGTCAATAAACATCAACCCCATCAGAGCATTCCAACTTATGCTAAACAGCCTGCTCGTTCAAATCCTAGATCTAAATCTAGTAATAATTATCAAAAATGTCATCGATGCAAAGGTCCCCATGCATCTCATCGGTGCAAGTTCAAGTCTGCAACTTGTTATAAGTGCAGTAAGCAAGGTCACATTGCCAAGGCCTGCTTTGCAAAGTCTTCGTCTGTCGCTAAATCTAGCCAGTCAAGACAGTACCGCAACCAAAGGCAGCACTATGTTAACTCTCACCAAGACTACCTAACCCAACCAATGAACCACTCCACCTGTGAAAATGCTCAAACTGATTCGCAGCCGGATTTCAACCTGTTCTCTGTGAAATCAATAAGTCATGCTCCCATCAATGTACAAGTTAATATCAACGGTAAGAGCATCAGCTTCCAACTTGACACTGGAGCATCTCTAACAGTCATCACAAAGAAAGATTTTGACGCTGTCACAGGAGGATCAGTGTCTCTACAGCCGTGTCACAAGTGTCTAACAACATACACTGGTGACAATGTTCCGGTAATAGGAGAGTGTATGGTTCATGTAAGTTATAATGGTCAAAGTGTTAAACTTCCTCTTCTTGTGGTTGAAGGAAATGGACCGCCATTACTAGGTAGGAACTGGTTAAGTGATCTTAAGTTAAATTGGGAGAGTATTTGTTCATTGAAGAATGTAAAAGAATCTAGTCTTACTTCACTAGATAAAGTTATATCTGAAAATAAATGTGTTTTTGGTAACTCTGGATTACTAAATGATAGAACAGTGAAGTTAAGCATTAAAGATACAAATCCAAGATACTGCAAAGCTAGAGTTCCACCTTATGCAATGAGGAATAAAATTGAAAATGAGCTAAGCAGATTAGAATCTAATGGCATTATAAAGAAGGTAGACTATTCCGATTGGGCGACACCCATTGTGCCAGTGTTAAAGAAGGATGGTTCTATAAGAATTTGTGGAGACTACAAAACTACACTGAATAAGCAAATAGAGCTAAATAGGTACCCTATACCTAACATTGAGGAAATTTCTTTGAATTTGGCAGGAGGAGACAAATTCACTGAATTAGACTTTAGTCATGCTTACACTCAACTAGAACTGCATCCAGATTCAAAAGTCTATACGACAATAAACACACATAAAGGACTCTACCAATATGAAAGACTATATTTTGGCATATCATCTAGCCCTGGAATTTTCCAAGCTGTCATGGACAGTATTTTTAAGGATATTCCAAATGTTTGTGTGTACTTTGACAATGTGTACATAACTGGTAAGAATGACACTGAACATCTTAAAACACTTGATAAAGTATTGAAAATTGTTGGTGAAAAAGGTTTAAAGATAAACAAAGATAAATGTCAATTCATGCTGACAGAAATTAGTTTTCTTGGTTATATATTAAGCAAGCAAGGTATCAGACCTCAACCTGAGAAAACAAAAGCCATTAAAGAAGCACCCAAACCTGAAAATACCCAACAACTAAGAGCTTTTTTGGGCTTGATAAATTACTATGCAAAGTTCATAGGAAATCTGTCTGGTAAACTATCACCACTGTACAAGCTGCTACAGAAAAATGCAACTTGGCACTGGGGTAAACAACAAGAAGCTGCTTTTAACACAGCAAAAGAGGCTTTGTCTACTGACACCTTACTAACTCACTATGACCCAGGGAAAAGACTTGTATTGACATGTGATGCTTCACCAGATGGTGTAGGAGCAGTCTTGTCCCACATGGATGAGAAGGGTGACAGACCCATTGCTTTTGCCAGTAGATCTTTGAACCAGGCTGAGAAAAATTATTCTCAGTTAGATAGGGAAGGCTTAGGCATCATTTTTGGTGTTAAGAAATTTCATAAGTTTCTGTTTGGTAGGAAGTTCACCATCTTTACAGATCATAAACCATTGCTAGGTTTATTTGGAGAAAACAAAACCCTACCTGAGCATGCCTCTCCAAGAATTCAAAGATGGGCTATCACACTAACTGCATACAATTATGAATTGAAATACAAACCTGGATCTGAGAATAGTGCAGATAGTCTTAGTAGATTACCTTTAAAAAACCAAAGCCTGAGCTATGTACCAGAAGATGTATTTGTTCTCTTCACTATCATGGATAACTCCAATATAAATGTGAATGATATTAAAAGAGAAACACAAAAAGATAAGTGCTTAATAAAAGTATATGAGTACTGTAAGAATGGTTGGCCTGAAGAGTCTGTGAATGATGACTTAAGGCCATATTAAATAAGAAATAAAAACCTTTGTGAAGATAATATAAAAGATGGAGAAGATGCAGTCCATTATCAGTCAGAATTGCCTAAACAAAGTATTTGTAACTTAATAAATGATTATGGTGATATGGCAATTTCAAATACATTAGTAAGAAGGAATGTGATCATCAAACAACTTTGCTAACATCATTAGCACTTACAGAAACTAAAAGGGTAACATCAAAAGAAAAGAAAAAAGATTTTTGCCATTTAATACTTTCAGATGCCAATTCAAAAATAGTTCCATTAGATCATGACAAACATTCATTGAAAGAGAATTTGGTGTTAATAAGAATGTGTATCTAAGAAGTTATGGGAGAAAGGAAAAATGGATACCAGGTCAAATTGTTCAATGTACAGGACCTGTGTCTTATAAAGTAAAAACAAATGATGGACTTATTGTCCGTAGACATGCAGACCAGTTAAAAATAACTTGTGCAGATAATAAGTGTGAATCTGTCAATCCCACCAAGTCTGATCAGTTCACACCAACTCAGTTGTTCCACAACCAAGTTCTGTTGATATGAGTGAACCAAGTTGTCTGGAGTCAGAAAATGTAAATTCTGGAGTTAATGATTTAAATCCTAGACCTCCTGAGATAGAGAATCCAAATGGTCAGAATATTGAGTCACCAAATCAAAGGCCACTGAGAAGGTCAAACAGGACAATCAAAGTCCCAAATAAGTTAGACCTATGATTTTAAAGGTCAAAAGGACTTTGACATCATTGTTTTGTATTTTGATTATGTTGTAGCATATTGTGCATTGTTTGTAAGGATGTAATCTACCATAGTGTTCATGTTACAATATAATTGGTGATTTTAGGATACTATCAATTGTTCTATTGAGAGATGTGTTATTGTGTTCTAAGGGTAAAGGGATGTAATAGATTGAAATAATTGTGAGGTCAAGGGAACTCACTCTTCTGTATTAGTTATATTTATAATATTGTTAACTTGAGTGATGTCCCTTGTGTACTTCCTCCCGTCCTCTCTGTGTGTTACCATCGTGATGTAGTTAGACCCATTAAATGTGTTATATACAACCACAGGCTTCTGTCGTCAATCTATTATAAACAGTGTCCGCCCACCCCCTCAGATCAAATTTTCCGGGGGGGTGAGGACACTGGTAATAAAATATAAATTACGAACCGACCCGCGGCATATCATACGCCGCTATTTAGTTGTTTTATTTTCTACTTTTCAGTAATTCATAATTTGTAAATTCGACAGTACCAATGCTGCCACTGAAAATATTTGCTTTAAAACACTATCAGTAGATCGTTAAGGACGATACTACTCCCCCCCCCCCCCCCAACGTTTAAAATCGTTTCAAACTAAATTATCTGCCTCTAATAGCCGTCACTAAAACCGACTCCACGAAGGTAAACAGCGTGAACCACAGCTCACTAAGACCATGTAGGGGTGGGGATGGTAGGGAGCGCGTTTACAGCTTGTTTTCTAGCGTCTCCCAGAAGAGAATTATATATATAGGTATTTTCTATATAAATTATATTTCATTTTGCACCCCTCCCCCACCCCCCACGGAAGGATGCCTGAAAAAAACTGACCACAACAGTAATCTTGCGATGACAGGGGGGGGGAGTGCCATAAGCAAGATAGTGCAACAATAATACCAGTGTCACTAACAAGGTAATGCCACAACTTTTGGTGTGTTGCAACCTAATAATAATAAGCCACTGCCTAGAGATAACATTACAGCGTAAGGCAAGGCAGAAACCGCTGATCGAATACAGTGAGAAAAAAAATTTAAATTACAAGAAAAACACGACTTAAAGGTTTGAAAGCACAGATTTTTATTCAACAGACAACGGACATCATCAGTTAACAGACTCTGTTCCATTCTTTATCACACAACTACAGGCTCAAAACACAATCTATGTACACCTTGCTTTAGTCTTACAATGTTAAAATACCTTCAGCTCGATCAGATAGCTGCATATTCATTATATTATAGAAACATTCCTTTACTCATCTTGAGTAATCTATTCTCATATATATATATATATATATATATATATATATATATACACACATATATATATATACATATATATACATATATATAGATATACGTATATATATATACACATAAATATATGTATACATAGATATGTATACATATATGTATACATATTCTTTTATAAAAATTTTACAATACAATCTTCAGTGTTAGGTACTGCTATTCCCTACCTATAGAAGGTAATGAATTGCCAGCAATGGATTAGCATTGCAATTTTTTGCAGTCCAAGACATGAAATATGTACAATAAATAATAAATTTTCTCTCTGTTCATATCTAACATAATGGCATTCTATTAAAGGGTAGAAGATAATTTGTGAACATTATTGTCAGTAAAAAATGTTCAAATGTAATGCCTATACTTGAATTATATGCATAAAATATTTTTAATGTCAAATTTCTATATATTTTTTGCTAAATTTGTTAATCAACTACATTCTTAAAAATGTAACTTAACTTGTATATTAATATATATTAAATACAGCTGAGGTTAGGTTAAAGTGTGACTAGTTGCGAATGTCTAACATACAGTGATTTGAGTGAAATGGATTTTAAAAAATCTTTATTGTGTTTAAGCAGAATCTGAAGAGATAATAAAATGTTAAAAGCTCATATTATGTAACAAAAGAGAAAAAGAAGAACAAAAATTGTTACGGTTAATAATCCATGGGGTATCTCAATGTGGACCTGTTCTCCACAAGGAGTAAAGCGGAGTAAGTATCTCAGCGTGGTTGTTTTGATTTACAACTGAACTTACAAGTACCAGATATTCAAAGGTGGTGAAAGTGTTATACAATTTGACAGCAAGTGTCAATTAAACAATATGCATTAATAACATACAATGGTATTTTATTACAATATATAATGAGAGTTTGAATTGAGAGCCTTCATAAAACATGTTAAACGTGTAGATCTAATTTAATTAGGCCATACATTAAATACTGCTATGTGCTCAAAAAGTAAAGTTTAAGTTGTTATTTTAAATTTTTAGTATTTATTTATTATTATCTTTATCATATACTTATCATAATTTTTATCATTCATTTATAAATTATTATTATTATCTTTATCATATACTTATCATAATTTTTTTCATTTATTTATAAATTAATCATTTTTATCATTTATTTATAAATTACTAATTACCTTGGGTTACAAAACAAATGCATTACAGTTTCATATTAAATTTTTAAAGTTAAGACTATTAATGGACTGAAACAATATTTGGTATTATATTTAATAATTAAAAAAATGAATGGATCCTGCTCAAACAATGCATGCATTCATTAGGTGTGGTTAAGGAAGTGTCACTTAGTGGGTCTCCATATGCAGTTTATGTGCTGTGTAAACTCAACAGTTTAAAATACCAGATGGAAAATACACCTCAATGTGAACACCTACGTATTTTAAGCAGAATTATTTATAAACAGGGATTTTAATTTGTTTTAAATTTAAATGGTCACAGATAATCATTATTAGAGAGAGGGTTTAAATTTTTATATACATTTTTTTTTTTCATTTCAGTTCAGCTTTCAAATCAACAACTAATGCCTTCCACCTAAAATTAAGAACCACAAACATCCCACACATACAAAGAAAAATAAATAAGCATTTTTAAAAGTTCATCAACTGTACATTGCATGCAAAGCAGGCCAGGTGACTAGTGATCTGACCTATGCAACTACTGAACCAACAAATAGGGCCAAGGAGTTCATCTCTTCCAACATTCCACAGAAATATTGAATTATCTCAATCCCATTGAAACTAAACTGGCAAAAAGTTCAACATTTTATTAGCCCAGTATCATACGGTTTTCAGCAGTTAAAATTTTTGTTTTTTGATGTGCCAGTTCCTCCCTCTTACAAGGGTGTAACCTGGGTGAACTAGGACTGGGCACACTGCACCTCATTTGTGTCTGAATCGTCTGAGTGACTGCTGTTGTCGTCTGAACTGGAGAGTACCTGGCCTTCCTCTCTCATCTAGAGAAAAAAATTAATGGAAATTCCATTTTTCAACCAGCTTAAATGTTCAAAACTAAGCATAGAAGTACGTTAGAAATGCTGGGATTGGGGTTAGAATTATAGAGATAGTGTACATTTGAGTTATTTCCCTTGAAAATGGACTCTTCACTACTATACCATTGTTTCTGAAATGGCATTTCACAACCAGATTAATCAGTCTAAAAGGGCATTTTTACTAACCAGATCATCAGGTCTATAAGCGCATATTATAACAAGACCATTATGTTTTTAAGGGCACTTCACTACAAGACCAATCTGTCCAAAAGGGCACTAACTACCAGACTCAAGCTGGATGTCCCTGAGTCACCCAGCTGTTATGGGTACCTGACTTCAGCAGACTAAAACTGGCTGGAAATAATGCTGACCTCAATGCAGAGCACAGTTCCATGAACAATGCATGATGAACGACAACATCTGACCATCTATCATAGTGGTCAACCTACCCTTCTGCGTGCAGAGTTCCTGAAATGATGCATGATGAACCACAACATCTGACCACCAATCATCTCAGGCTCTGAGGTTTTCCTCTCCTGGCTCCTCTCAACAAAGTTTTTCTCGATTAACTGTAAACATTATGTTTGTATTCATTATACCAGTTAACAAAGCTGTGTAAACCTACATCAGTGGTTCTTAACAAGGGTTCAATTGAACCCTAAGGGTGAGTCAGTCTCTTATGATTTATGTCAGATTTTGTCAGTAAGGATAATAAAACTTGTGAAGGGTTCAGTGAATGCGGAGTTGAAACTAGCGGGGTTTGGTACCTCTTTGGTAATTCAGTGCTGACTACACCAAAAATTATTTTTAGTAACAAAAGCATTGATATTCCATAACAATCAGCTTTTGTCTGTAGCTTTTTAAAGAAGAATACATTTACTGGCACAATGATGATAATTGTCTAAATAGCTCATGTTAGGATTCTTTTTTAAGAAATGGACACATTGTGATTTGAATCTAGACTTCCAGTAGGCCAATTAAAGTTCTGAATAAATCCTTAAACTTCTTGTGTTGAAAAAACAAAACAAAAATTAAAGTAACCTTTACCATTATGATAGACTCAAGAAGTGGGTGCAGACTAACCTTTTTAAGTCGATATTGATCCACTTCTGGTTCAGCCTGTGATGGCATCCACAGCTTGACATCGTGATCCAAGCCACTAGTTGCCAGTACAGGGAGGGTAGGGTGTGGTTCAAGAACATTGATCTAGGATAGGACAATTGTAAAAAAGTAAAGTTCCCTTTTTGAACCCGACGGTCCAATAGGACCAAGTGAAGTAGAGTTCACCTGTTTTAGTAACTCGGCATAATGTGGTCAGCACTATCCCAGCCGCTTTTACTTTCCCCAACGTGAGTTAGATACCCATCAGAGCTGGATGGACTCAGGGACATTCTACTAACTTAAACCTGCATTCAAACCCGAGATTTTCAGGTTAAGTCTTGTGCTCTACCTCTAGGCCACGAGGTCCATGACAAATGTACCAGATGTAACAAATATAGAGGTGAGAATGTGTAACAAAGGATGTATAGCTAGAAAATATTTGGGGTAAAATAAAGTGCCAGGTTCATCTTGTTGAACTGTTTAATTCCTAAAAACCTTACAGTCAAAGGATTTAAAAGAGATCATTTCTTAACAATAGGAAAGTACTATCAAAACAAGTGACAACTTTCAACTACATCTACAACTCTTCAGCTACTAACAACATGTATGTCATAGCATAAAAAAAACTCTTTAGTAAAAAAAAAACTCTTCAGTAAAAAAAAACTCTTCAGTCAAAAAGAACTCTTCATAGTACCAGCAACTAAATACCAGCTTCAGCTCATAGAACACTTGAGTTGCTAACAACAGTAAACTACTCTAACATGTGACTACAGCATTATTTCATAGAACTCTTCATTCACTAATAACACTAATGTCACAGTATAGAAAAGAACTCTTCAAGTTTTAAAAACCAGTAAAATGGCGGCAACTTACCACCCCAGCTTCATCTCCTTCTTGGAAGTTGATGATAGCCTCAGTTTGCTTGTCCCAGAAAAAAACATAACCACAATCACTTCCACTGACAATAAACTCAGACTTTGGACCATAAAAATTTACACCTTTCACTGCAAAAAATAAATGAAAGTACACATATTTAAAATATACAATTTAAATACAATAATAAATAATAATAATAATTAATAACAATATAAAAAATGCAAGAGAAAATTAATAAAAGGTAAAATAAAATCCACAGTTCTATAGATAAGCAGTTATAATTAATATAAGACTGGCCTAAGGTAAGATAACTCTCACCTAATTATAGAACATTGAGAAAAATTTATCTGCTAACTAAATATTGCTGTTAATAATTTTGCATCTGAAAATCTGACTGACTTAAGATGAAATAAAAGCCAGTCAAAAAAAACTATCTATATATACAATTCTCTTCTGGGAGACGCTAGAAAACAAGCTGTAAACGCGCTTCCTACCTCCCAACCCCTACATTGTCTTAGTGAGCTGTGTTCACTCTAAATGTTTACAAGCAGAGCCGGGTTATGTGGCGACTATTAGGGGCAGATAATTTAGTTTTTAAACGTAGGGGGGGAGGGGGGAAGGAAGGGGGGGGGGTTATGGTCCTTAACGAGCTACTTATAGTGTTTTAAAGAAATATTTTCAGTGGCAGCGTTGGTACTGTCGAATTCACAAATTATGAATTACTGAAAAGTAGAAAAAACAAAAACTAAATAGCAGCGTATGTTATGCCGCGGGCCAGCTCGTTATATTTTAAAACAATAAGCATCATACAAGCTTACGTGAGAAGATATGATTTGGATATTTGCATGTTTTGTATGAGAGTGTACATACCTGTTGCATTGTTTCTATGTCCATTGTATTTGTGTACATAATTAGCTCCATCAGACATAGTGTTATCAAACAGATAAATATCCTCATCATTATACGAGCCCAAAATCTCTGCAAATATGCATAGTAACAACATAACAGTTAATAAAAGTACTGTAACTGCTGAGTTTATTCAAATATAATAAACAGTAATTACTTCAGTTAATAATATAAACCTTAAGTTTGTATTTATTAAGCTGTCTTTAGCCTTAGAACCACATATTTACTTTTTTTTTTTTGGCAATAAAACCTACATCTATATTTACTAGTTCTTAATGGACCATAAATCTCTGTATCCATTTGTGTAAGAGCTATTACTATTAGACTAGCTCATAGCAAATAAATGTGTAGGAGTAGATGTTAGGTGAAATCCACAGCAAAATATTTGTAAGTACTTAAAACAATGTTTTAACAATTAATGTTATGTAAGTCTGTATGTGTTGGCTATTTAAAATATTAAGATAAAAAGGTTACCCACCTGTTCCATTATAGTTGTAACAAGCACAGGTCACATTAGCTTTAACATCACTGTTTATCTAGTAAGTTGGATGGAAAAAGGTATATTAATATCATCCTTTTGGTGATATTTATGTTTTTATTATTATTATTATTACTTTATTTAACAATATCAAAAATATCTATTAAAATCAACACAATAAAACATCAAACTCACTAAGTGATCAGGACAGAACTTTTTCAAAACACCACCATCAATATCCTGGAAATTTAATAAGTTTTAGTATTTAGCAGTTGTATTTTAAATAGTAACAATAACACAAAACAAAACAGGACAAATCATTTACTTTTGGAAAAAAAAAGTTAACAAAAGAAGTACGTTAAAAAAAAAACAGCATCTAACAATGTGGAAAAACGTACCTCATTAATTTTCCGCTTATCATATACCCTGAAAAAATAATTTAGCATTGGTTCAATAATCCAGAAATGCTTTTACAATGGTAAAAAATTTAAAAATCATAAAATTTCAATATTTTCAAATATCTACAGTAGAAAATGTAACAGGAAATAGCAGGCACTGACCTGATATAATGATCTCGCCCGCCAACACAAAACTGTCTTGAGTCACACGGGTTTGAGTGGATTGAATACAACGGAACTTTCTTCTCATTTTCTTTGGTTGTTACTAGCCTGTGGACATACATAGGTGGGTGAAGTCAATGAAATCTTATGCAACATGAAGCTTAAGTATCCTTTTAGACAATATGGCCTAGAGAGTAAATTAATGGAGATCATTCGTTTTTAAGACCTCTGCATATAAAGTAATTTTGTGGTCAGTGGTTCAACAAAAGCCCTGAGTATACTTAGGCACATCCTACTGGCTCGAGAAAGATTAGCCATTATGTGCTCAACCCTATAAATTGTATGCAGAATGTGTAAGATGATTCCGCAGAGCATCATAATTTTAGAACACAAGGATATACAATGGTGACTTACTTGTGGGGTTTCTCCTGTCTGAGATCAAAAAGATAGGTTAAGGCGTCCTCTCCACAGCTGAGGAAAACATTGGCGGAGTCAAGCTCCAGCGCAAGCTGAAAATAGCCAGAGAAATGTCAACTCAATTGTTGTTTTAACATTGATCTGATTTCAACATAAATGGCATACAACTCTTTCCCAACATCATTAAGTGAATGTTTACAACTTTTTCACTCATTGTAAAGGTACAGATTTCTTAAAAAATTAAAATAAAACATAATGCAAGTTTAATAATTATGAAGCTTTGTATTCTGTGTTCAGCATTATCATTCCTAATTTTAAAATATTTGATACACTAGTTATAAAATCTTTTTAAAAACAGGTACAACTTTTTTTTTAATGAACTTTGGCTTCTTGATATTGGAACACTTGTTTGTGTACACACTGATTTAAAACTAAAATGTGTCCACAAATAGAAATATGGAGGAGTTTGAACAAAATAAAATTATCGATAAAAAATGTTTTTAAAAATAAGTCCAATCAATTGTTCAATCTTTAATCCAGAGTGAAATAACCAATTACCTTATGTGCAGCACCTCTATGCTGAGCTAGTTTGCGTGTAGCTTTGCAAACGCCAGTTAAAGAGAGCTCTGCTAGCCTCACTTGCCCGTCCCTTGCACAACTGATGACATGACAGTCTCCACTGTATGGTACAAATTTGGCCTAAAGACAAACAAAAACATTATAAGCAATACAGGTAATGTAACAGTGAACTGAATAGTGTAACTATGTGTAAATGAATTATTTAAATAATAAACTCATGTCATAATAAATTAAATTTATAATTTTGTGTCGTTATATTTACCTGAAAGACATTACTACGGTGGCCGCTGTCGTAAATAAGAGATGGTCTTGCCCTTTGCCAGTTCCACAAGACAATGTTTAAATCATCTGAACCGCTCGCCAGCAGTGTACCTATGGAAACAACTCACTATTAACCTACATTACTTATTTAAACCTATATACACACTACCAGCATTACAAACTTATGTAGAACCTATACTTCTACATGCAAACAAATGGGGCCTTAATTTACTAACAAGCCAGCCAGCTAGAAGTATGGCTACTATTTACAGATCTGCATCCTGGCCTGTGAGCCAAGGTGAATGAGTCCAGCAAGCATGGTAAACAACACCAATTCTCCTGTTATTTACACTTAAGACAAGCACTTGCTTCTTGGAGTTGTTTTTTTTTTACAATATGCAGATTTATTTTAGTGCAAAGTTTTTTTAATATTAAATTTCAAACTACGATTCAATAGCTACGGGTTTTTTTGTCTAATAAAAAAGAAAAACCAAGGAAAATAATAAAAGATTTCAAACCTATTCTGTTGAAACTGAGAGCATTAACACATCCTTCGTGTCCCTTCATGCTTTCCACTCTAACTAGTCGCTTCACCATCTGCAGACTGCCTTGTAACTTTCCCCTATCAAATTATAGCAACAAAAGTCATGATGGATGAGGTAACATGGGTGAGTTGAAAATACAACATTGTAATTTAAACAAAGATTTAAATAAAAATAGGTATGCAAAATGAAGTTGTTCAACCTAAAAGAACAACAACGTAGTACTAAGATGAATAAAAACTACAAGGACCTAGCGTAAAAAATAAAATGTTTTGTATTAAAATGCATCAAAATTTTTGTAGATAGCAAACTAAGGAAGTAGAGCCCCTTCAGCAATAGGATTACCAACTCTGATGTGATTTCAGCAGCTTCTGTAACCGAAATTTATTTCAAAGGAATGCTCTGCATTCCTTTGGACTATACCAGGGGTCTCCAAACTACGGCCCACGGGCCGAATGGGGCCCACAAAGTCCTCTCATCCGGCCCGCTGAGATCTTTTTGTCCAAGGAAAAATCGTTTGTTGGTGATGGCTGAGGAACTTTGCCCAGAATAATCAAATACATGCCTGGAAGAAACTGGCCCTGAACTGAAATTTGATAGTTAATGCGGCCCTCGGACTGAAAAGTTTGGAGACCCCTGGACTATACCTGCAACTATCACGAGCTGTTCAATGCATGGGCAACCCATAATCTCTTTATCTCTAATGGTCTGGTACTCGCCCTGAGGATTTCACTACTTCTCCAATGGCCTTCCAAGGCAAAAACAAGCCGTGCTTAGGGACCAAGTAATCATCCCAATGCAGGCTACTATAAAAAGTAGCTAGGCTAACACAAATGTTTCAGCATAAAAATCTTTTACCAGTAGTGGACTAGCTGTATCCCCAGAGCCTAGGAAAATTTTAAAAGGAGCCCCCAACCCCAGATTAAAATTTGAGCATTTTTTCCCATCAACGACAGATGATCTTCTTCAGCTTGATAGAAATTCACAAGACAAAAGTTTGTTTAAAAAAAAGTCAAAGCACTGATTCATATAGCACATTTCTAGGGGGGCCTACATTTTTTTACCCGGGGGAAGGGGCCCACCAGGATTTTTCTTGGTAAACCTGCAGGCCAGTTCAACGATGTTTATTATTACACTGAGTAGCCCAGCTAACCCAAGGTTTCCTTGTGTATACCTAGCTTTGACTGCATCTGACATGGCTAATATACTACCCATTTAATTGTTTCATGTAATACTGTCCTTGCCCTGAGAACAAAATTTACCACATTAATCACTGACCATCTAACATGAAAATGGCGATTTATATTTTACTTTTTGAATTACAATCTTCCTGTTATTTCTCATTACTCCATCACACAAATGGATGAGACCATGTTATTTGAGCATTTTGTTAAAAGCACTGAAATTTTAAATTTTTTTATCTCTTTAGTAAAAACATTGGTTGCTAAAATGTGTTATTAATTTCATTAGTGTCCAAGGCTTTTACTAATATAAATAAATAGAATGTTTGTTTTATTATTTTTAGTGAATTTAAAAGCTTTTATGTGACAGTGTGGTTGGGTGGTAAAGCACTTGACTGCTAACCCGAAGGACTCAAGTTCAGATCTCAGGATGCCCCCAAGTCCATTCAGACCTGATGGGTACCTGATTCAAATCTGGGAAAGTAAAGGCAACGTGGCATAGACCACACCATCCATCCATATGCTAGGGTCATGAAACAGAACTCAATTTCATCTGCCCTATGGATATAGGTTTAAATGGGAAGCTTTACAAGATTTTAATTCTTGTTTAATTACAAAATTTTCTTTGGTTTCAATGAAAATACTAAATAAAATTGCAATAAAAAATGTTTAATAACTGATTTAAATAAATTTGCAACTAAATATTTTGAATTTTTCTTTTTTTTTTGTATGAACAAGAAGCTAATATTTTTGCTAATTTAAATCTGTTTCAATGACAAAATCCCAATAATTAGGCGTAAACATGCTTTATTTTAACTGTAAATAAGCTACTTACTAAGAATTAAAATGCTGTTTAATGTACTTAAATACTAGGCAATCTGTACAGTTTCACATAGGATTTTTAAAAACCCGAATACCTACCCTTAACCAGACTAACCTAGTACTAAATGTTACCCCAAATACTAATTTTTATTTTACTAGCCAAAGGTACAAATAAAAAACTATCTACTTACATTAATTACAAATAACACTAATCCTACTCTAGCACACTAAACTTTATATTACTATTAACAACCCAAAACATGTATTTTTTGGACATGTCAATGGTCAGTAATGAGGATAAACAGATAACTTACATGAAACAGCCAGATCCACATGATGAAACATAACCATACTCCCTCTTCCTGAGTTCACTCACAGCATACCAGTTAGGTGTGGGAGACGGTTTCTCTAAAACAGAACTCACTGCAGTTCTTATTTCATCATTCATTTCATCCCCATAAGGATTATTGGCATCATTCCCATCTGCGTCATCATCATCATCAGCATCAAACGAGTCATCTGAATCGTCTGAGCTATGTCTGCGCGGACGGAATAGCCTGCGAAGGTTTCTACGTTTAATAAGACGTTTACGCGCTGCTGTCAGAGGGCTGCTGTCATCATCACTGTCTTGTGAATCAGAGGCATGATCAGGAGATGAGGATTTCATCTCTGTTTCATTTCTCACCTCTTCCGATTCTGACGCAGCCTCTGACCTATCAGGTGTTGGACGTTTGGGCTTGGGTGAGTCTTCATCTTCAGCTATGACTCTTTTGGTGCAGGGTGAGCTACTGCTGGAGTAGCTGGATGTGACTGTCCCAACATAATAAGAACCTGCTGAGACATTAACCGGGTTGTTCATTTCTATCTCAGTATCCAGATTCAGAAGTACATCCCCACCAACACCTGCTCCATCTGGAATTTCCGGAAATAATTTACTGTCAGTTGCATCACAGGTATCAACATGCATATCCTCCTTCTTGCTGAAGGAATCTTTATCATCATCTGACTTGGGTACAGCAATATCATCCAGCCACCCTGACTCATCTCTAACTGAAGGGTGAGTTAAGTGAGGACTGGAGTTGATGATTTCTGTCTCATCTGACTTGTTTGACAGAATGCTGTCCAGTGTCACTCCGCTGTCATCTTTCTTGAGAGCGGGAAGGTCACATGCATCACCTCCACCTGCACTGTCCAGCAAGTCACCATCTTCCTCCATGCTTTGGTTATCTCCATCACAAGAAGACATCATGTTTCTGAAAAAAAGCATAGATGACATTGATAAAAATGCACAACTGCTGAACCACAAAATGTAATAATATTGCAAAAACTGTTTTGATGAATACCAATCATATAAGTAGGGTGATGCATGACAAATCATTAAGATTGTTAAATATTAAATAAAATAAAATAATCATCCATCCTAATCAGTGTAATTATCAAAACAATGAATTTGATGGCTGACATACTGACATTAACTAACTATTATTAATTTATTATTACTTATTAAGTTATTAGGCCTACTATTTTAACTATTTATTTTATTACACTTCACTGTCTTCACTACTGACTACTACACAAAATGTGTTTGTATAGTAATGGAGGCGAGCGAGTTGACGAGATTCCTTCCATAATGTTGTTGTCATGGAATAAAAATGTGCTTTTTAGATTTAGACCGTAAAAAAAAATAAAAAATAAAAACTTAAGCCTAAAATTAATTTAGAAATTTTATATTCTTAGAATAAATGCTATAAAAGTTGCAAATCCAGAGAACTTGAAAATAATTTGTTGAGTTTAAGGCTACATTTCTATTTATTTTCATCAAGTCTAAGTTATAACCGGATGTTTCACTTTCGTAAGACAAATATTGATTGGCTGTACAGTAACTTAGTAATCGATAACTATTTGTTTACAAAACTTTGCAGATCAAGTTTTTAAATTACAATGCAAATTTAAAACCCCATGACCTAGTTTTCTATTTTTAGCTTACAATGTGTACAATAAAATCTATGGCAGCCTATCCAATAGCAGGATGCCATGTTTATGTCGCCATTACACGTGAAAACCAAATTGTTTTTGCTTTTTTTTTAAATTTTTATTTAGTTACCGAAAATATTATAAACATCAAATACATCCAATCTTTAGTAAAGTCCGAAAAAAACCAGACAGGCAGGATTTTATAACCATATTAATTGTAAATACGCTGTGCATGATTTTTTAATGAATTTATACACCTCTCAAATACCTTTGAGACTTTTCTCGCTGGTGTCCATTAGGCCTACATGATCTCTAGTTCTTATTCACAAAATGGGCATCCTTACAATTGGGCCTACTGTTTCTTTTAGTTATCGACGTAATTACTAATTAGTATAGGCCTATTTTTTTTTTCATTCGAGGTAAGAAGGGTGACTTTTAGTTTTAACTGCACAGTACACTGAGTACACTCATGATACTCACACAGCCAGGATTCAAGATTGTCTTATTTTTTAGGCCTATTTTATCGCACCATGCTTCATTTTGTTTTTAGATTCTATGCTATAATTGTTAACAATAAATTTTAAAAAGAAAGATAAAATATGGTACCGCCGATTGTAGATTTAAAGACAATTTTTTTTATCCGCTGATAAGTTTATACGTGCTCTTGTTTTAGCAAGGCTCTCATCGTTCTAAACTATACATATAGACTAGGATCTTGTGTTGTTTTTCTAGCTTTGGTTAAACAACTCAGGAGTAAATTCATGTTGTTACAGTGATTGGTTATTTGCATAAAACCAACAACAGAGCTTTATTAAAGTTAAACACAAACAATAAAATTTTAGCCTTTCATAAACTCTAATTTTATTTCTGATTTCTCAAGTTTAAATTACTTTTAAATTGTGCTTATTTAAAATAAAAATTTCCCCAACTGCGTGGCCTATTTTAAAAGAAAATAGTTACAGAAATAGAACAGGCCTACTTTACCTGAGCGTAACCTTGGCCTTAGTTAAACTACCGTAAATCCCTAAAAAAAAGAATTTGCGCAAAACAAGTAAGAGCTGCGGAGCCAGTATTATTCTCAAAAAAGTTCATATTAAAATCGGACGTTTCGGGAATCGGGGGGGGGGGGGGTGGATGTTGTTTATCGGTATAATACGAAGGTATAAAGTTGTCAGCGTTGTGCTGAGCCGCTTTACATTCCCTGGCTTGTCTGGTAGGCCTAATCAGAGCTGGGTAAAGACGCGTTATTTCTAAATAATAAATATGACTTTTAAAGAAGTACACGAAGGCCCACAGCTGATGTTATAAATGTGTACAAAATTACACTTGTAACGTCACATTTTTATCCCCCCCCCCCCCCGTCATAAATCGTCATAAAATTATAAACATGATCCCTTAGAAGCTAATCAGAAATTCTCAATCAACTAACAAAGTTGTGGTCGGGCAAGTGAAGTGTTTCAGTGGTCAGCACGTCCAGCCGCCTTTACTTTCCCTAGCGTGGGGTAGATACTCATCAGAGTTGGGTGGACTCAGGAACGGTCTACCGACTAGAACTCGAGACTTACAGGTTAGCTGTCCAGCTCTCTACCGCTAGACCATGAAGAGTGTTGTCATTTTAGGTAAGTGTTGTGACTTGCGTCACAAATGCAGCGTAATTTATGTGTCCACAGGGAACAGTTTCTTACATGCATCACTTCGAGAGGGGGGTGCACTGCACGTCTACGACACCATCCCTCCCGATAGTTTCAAGAATCCCTACGGAGAAAAATGTCTGGGGGGGGGGGGGAATGATAGTGAGAATGGGTGTTCGATCATTCTTGACATGCCTAAAACAGATAATATTACTGAAGGCTTAAAATATAGAATCCAATTAGCCTATCGTTTAATAACATGCTCAAAGATTTTTACTTTTAAACACAAAAAATTAAACATTAGAGTAGTATATGCTTTTATCGTAACTAAATAGTAAAACCACAACACGTTTTCCCCTTTTATCAATCTTATTTAATGATGTACGGTATTTTTGTGCTACTAAAAAGGTTATGGCCGGGGGGGGGGGGTATAAGGGGAAATGAAGAAAGAATACCGGAAGTTTATAAAACTGCGGTATGTTTATAAAATATGGACGACGATGAAAACAAGAAATGGACCAAGACGAAAGACCAGAGAGATTATTTAGTTTATTAGCAAGAGAGATCAAATCTTTAGCTTTAAACAATATTCAGTATTTTCAAAATGGCAAGCAAAGTTACCACGCTAAATTTCATGTTGCATTTAGCTTGCTTCGTGAATATATGGACGTTGGTATCGAGCCGAGTTACCTAGAATTATGTAAACATTTGCACAACAACAAATACGATTTCTCAGACGATGTGAAAGGAAATGGTTACCGTAGTTTATTGAAAGTGGTCAGCAAGTGTTGCGTGCATTTACTTCACTTATGTAAATATATTTCATCAGTGAGAGACTCAATTTTGTTTAGGAAAAGGTTCTATTCTAAAGAACTTGAGAGGTAGGCATCAAAATTAATTCAGAGGCGTAGCTAGCTAGGGGAGGACAAGGCGGGTGGGGCGGCTGACCCAAGGGGGGGGGGGGGCGCCAAACTGGGTAATAAAAAATAAAATAAAAAACCTCATTCTGCACAGACAAATTTAAGAAAATAGATCAATGCATGGCTTTACAGACTGATTTCCTAAATTGGTGTATGTATGTATGTGTGTGTGTGTGGGGGGGGGGGTGATTTTTTGCTGGCGTTTGAATAGGGTTGGGACAGCATTGCATTGATAGTTTGCCCCGGGTGCCAAAATAGGTCACCATGCCTCTGCTAATAAGGTCTAATTCCTAATATGTATTCAATTAATTTCTTATAAATTCTTAATCTTATCTCACTCAGTTGTTCAGTTTTGATTTTCATTGCAATAAATTATGAATATAATTTAATATAATCATCAAATGATGAGTAATCTGAAATGTGCCTGTCTCTAATAATCTACAGCTATGTGTCTACTCTTGGTCAGTTACGAGCTGTACTGTACTATGCTTTAAAACTGATCAATTATTGCCATGATGGTGAGCTGTTTGCTGATGAGGATAAGCTAAATACTGAGGTTGCAGACCAACTGGTCATTGATGTGGAGAGTCTTTGTCAAGAGTCATTTTATGGAAGATGTCTGGGATTCCAGGTTGGCTCTTATTTGTTTGAAAAACTTAAACATTTTATTCACTCATGAACAGTACTAATAATTTTAAAAATCACATTTAAGAGGGCCCTTTGAAATAATTATGTTATGCCCTTATAGGCCTAATAATATATAACATAGTTTTGACTTGAAATGTAAAATGTCTCCAAGTAATATTTCTCTGGTTTCCTGGTTAAGAATGATGCAACTGGCATTTTTTTTTACTGGTCACTTAATGCCATTACATGTAGTGAAACAAACTTTTCTTTATTTGTTTTTATTGTTTTTATCATTTGGATATGGATATTATCTATTTAATTTAATATTATTACTTGACATTTAAGTTTTGTTAAATAGTGTATTGAAATGTAATTATTCTTCTCTAAAATTTAAGCAGTTATTTTTTTTTTTTTAAATTCAATGCACAGGCTTAATAATATTTCCCTTTAATTGTAATGCAGTGTTTTGAACCCTGAGTATACTCCTCTGAATTTTTTTCATCTTGTGAATCTGAGCGCACCTATTCTCCCTTGAATTATGGATCAATACTCTGAGCCAAGAATATTCTCCCCTGAAATTTTCAGTTCTGTGAATCAATGCAGCGCCCCATGCATGCAATGGCTATAGCCATGGCATCCTACTCTGAAGGCTACCTTGAAACATCACAGATGATGCAGGTGGCGACATCTGTGTTTAACAGTGGCAAGTACATCCTTGACCCTGAGCTTAGAGCCCAACAGGTTGGTTCTTGCTAAATAAAAAAAATGTTCCCCTGTAACTGCTAAAAAAAAATTCTATTAAAAAAACCCAATTTAAAAAAATAAAACTTACATTTTTTTTTATTTGTAGACCTATATACTAGTTATTAAATAATGTAATTTTGAAAATGCATTTGTTTACTGTTATCTCAAACACTGATTTGTTACAGACATAACTTATCTGGTTAATTAGTGACATGTTATTAAATATATGATGTTTAGTCTTGTTGTTTTAAAGTAATCTTGTAGTAAGCAGTTTTAAACATTAGTTTATCTATGTGTTGTATTGTATCATTTGCAGGTTGTAAAAGTAACTAGAACAGCAGATATAAAGTTTTGCAAAGCATTCTGGGGATTCACTGAGTCAAGCATTATGCAAGTTGGTACTTGTACTCAATTCAGTTTTTTTTTTTTTTGTTAATTTTTTAAAATAAAACTTATAAGGCTTCAACACTAAACTAACATCTATAAACTTCATACTGCTTCAGTTGATGAAATATATTTTTTTACACTAACAACTGCTTCTGTATTTAGTAAACTTAATCCAGCTTCTTTTTTGACCAAATGATTTTTTAAGTATGAACAACTCTCTCTTTTGTTAGTAAGCTTAATCCAGACCATCTTAACCATATAGTTTCGTAAACACCAACATCTCTCTCTAATTTTAGTAAACTTACTACAGCTTCTATTGACTAAATGATTTTGTAAACACAAACAACTCTCTCTATTTTTAGTAAGCTTAATTCAGCCCATATTGACCAAATAGTTTTGTAAACACTAACAATTTCCTGTTGTTTTTTGCAAACACTAAAAACTTGCTGTTTTTATTTAAGGATAGGCACCACGGATAAAATTTTTTTTTTTATTTAACACATTTCTGAATGTTTAATAAGTTCATATAATTATAGTTGTTAAACTATAGACAAAAATAATATATAGCCGTCAATAGCAGTACTGGTTGCCATGGAAACAGCGAAAAGGTGTGAAAACTAACACCTTTTCAAATCGCTAAGGCTTTGTTCCCATAAGAGATTTTAAAAAACGGATGAAAGATTTAGATTTCTCAAACCAAACTATATATTTCTACGTTTACTCATTGCGATAGCTTGTACTCAATTTTTTATACAAATTTTTACGTAAATTTATGTACAAAAATTAGGGGGTGGTGTTACAAAAATATCAATATTTCCTTAAGTATTGTAGTAAACTTAATGTACAAACGTAGTTTTGTAGATGGTATAATGCTGAATGCACGTGGAATGTTTTATTCTTGTATGACAAAGGGTTCCAAAGCCTTAGCGATTTGAATGTCGAATTTTGAGTAAAATGCAAAGTTGAGAAAACGTGAAAAGAAGAGCGGGAAAAGGCGCGGTGCGTTTTCTCTTATAGAAAACAGAAAAAAACGTCTTGTTATATGTGGAAGAACCATTTGTCTAATAAAATACGCTTTGATTTATGTTGTAAGCTTTAGATAGATTTTTTCTATGTAAGCAGAAAATATGTATACAACAGGTAATGAATGTATGACTATTAAGTATTACACATCCTATCAATCTAGCGGTATTCTCAGAACAGCTATCATCAAACCAGATAAAGTTTTGTTTGTTAGCCGGTCTTCTCACTTCAAAACAATGTCTTTCTCTACTCAAATTGTAGCTTACACAAGTTTATTGCCTTATGATAATAGCCTACAACACAACACTGGGTACAACGCTTGAGGCTAGACACGCCCCTCCACCCCATCCCACCGCTGGATAGTGCACGAGGAACCGATGAGCCATAGATTACCAATGTTCATTCAACCGCGAATAACACATCTGTGTAGATAGGGTCAAGTACAGGGCCTAAGTGAATGCTTCCCAGCTATCCTATCTACTACTATCTAGTATTTACATTCGTTGCTAGCACACCCTATACGGAGAGATGGGCATACACATTAACACATGTGTCGTATACAGTCCGGTGTAAAGCCTGATGAACGCGTTCAAGCCTATCACAGCATGCCGTAACAAGATTATAAACCGGCCGTTGGTTGAATGGCGAGAAGGGAATGAAGGGGGTAAAGGGGATGGACAGTACATTCTTCAAACTGATAGTCATGTCCATGACGCATTGTTTCAGCTTAGTATAATTTTAAAGCGTACGCAACAGTGTTTAATATTGTTCCAGTGATAATCAACAGTACATTTCTAGGCAAAGTTTCAATTATTAAACTTAATGTTGTTGTATAACTTTAAAACAACAAATAGAAGAGTATACGCAAATGAGGTAAACAAACGAGACAGGCGATTGTTTTGTTTATCTAGAAACAAGATGGCTGCCTAGCACACGTGGTTAGTTGCAGCCTATCGTGAATTATTTTGATTTACTGTACTATAATATGATTGGTCAAGCGTATCAATGAACCTCTTCCCATTCATAAATTTTACGCGCATGCCCTTATATGGAGTTTAATATAAAATTTTACTTTGTAGAAAACAACTTCTATCCTAATTATTTTTAGAACAAAAGAAAAGGTGACTACACCAGCGGGTACACGAGTGCTTGGCCCTTAGATTGCTGTAAAGTTTATGGTGCCTCGCGGGCAATAAATGTTGTAATACCCGCTCGAAGATAGCCGCTGTCCGCGTAGTAGTGTGAAAACTTGCCGGGGGGTACCATGTTTCACATCGCAATAAACGAATAACCGTAAGCTGTAGAAGTCCGAAATGTTCGGGTTAGATAGATAAAAGGTATTAGTATCGAATTAAGAAATAAAAATTTTGGGTAACAAAATTAACATTTTATCGAAAACATGGGTATCTTGTTCCCTTAATTAACCTAATCCAGCCTCTATTGACCAATCATTTTTTTCTCAACACTAGCAACTACCTCTGTTTGTCTGTCCATCTGTGGATGTGAATGAGATAATAACTTTGGGACCAGATGCTTTTGAGCTGGCCCTGACTGACAGCAGTGACACAGTTCTCATCACCCCACCCTGTGCTCACACAGGGCCTGGGCATGTACACACCAGACTCATCTCAGCACGTCTCAGAGATGGACAGGTACGTTAGTAATTAAGAAAGTTCTCGTTGCTTTAATGCTGAACTAGAAAATTATAGCTGTGTGGTAGATTTCTAGTAGCATGTTTTGCTTTAAATAAAAGTTTTATTTTTTTTATCTTGTAGCATGTTGCTAAAAAACTAAACTGTTGTAGATTTTAAATAGCTGTTTATTTTGTTATAATTTTTAAAATATTTATTTTAGTAATTTTTCAATATTGAGTCATACAACTGGTATATTTTAAATAACTGCCTTCTTTGACTAAATGTTTTGCTTCATTTTTTTAACAGTCATTCTTTCTTAAAGTTAAAATGGGACTGACATTAATGAAAAGCATTCAAAATATACAACCAAAAAAAATTTGTGTTATGATAAATTAAAATTAAATTGATTTGTATATTGAAATAAATTTACACAATGAAACTATTAAAACCATTTCACTATAAAATGGGATTGCCTTTCATAAAAGATGAGAATATTTAATTTAAAGAAGTATTTGACATAACTAAGGAATGATGCGGCATCATATTGAATTCGTACTAATACCCATGACAAAACAGTAGATACATTATGTTAAAACTATTTACTCTGTGTCTTGCAGCAAACTTTTAAAAAATCTGGCAAATCTAAAACAGAAGCAGCTGCCAAATCTACTGGGCTAATACTTCACATTCATGGTGGTGGATTTGTTGCTCAGTCATCTAGGTCACATGAGGTACAGCTTTTAAATTTTTATATTTAGCTGTTTGTTCAACAATCATTACTGCTAAACCTTAATTATACTACTAATCATAATTAGAGTTTATTACGTTACTACATGATCAGCATTGTGTTTATTACTCGTTTTCCTGGATAATAATGACTTTATTTTTTTTTATGTATTTAAATAACTCAAATACTTCTCTTAAAATTGTATAATCATCTTATTTTGAGCAGCAAAGCCTATTGGACAACATGCATAAAAACTTAAAAAGGAAAAGTAACACAAAAATTTAAACCTGAAAAATCATTTTATGTGTTTCTCTTTCCCCATAACTGTTCTTGGCTTCTAAGTTCAGTATTTTTTTGGTTGTTTCCCTCTGAGAAACTTATCTTTGTGTTCCAGTCATGATTAAAACAAAACTAAAGCATTTTTTAATGTGAAAAGTTTATAAAAGTCTCTCATTTGAAGTATGAGTAGTGTCATATTGTAGATAGATAGAAATAAGACTAGACTGGTAGAGATTAATAAGGACGATGTAAACTTGAGTTGGTATTGATGGTAGACGATTTGGTATGTGTGTGTGTTTAATAAAATATGTGTAGCCTGATTGTGGCGCGACAGTGTTAGCTATGACGTAGGACGCAGGAGTGAAGACCGGGGTTTAGCTATTGTAGAGAAAGGACATATTTTATATTTTGTAGCATAGACCTAGTTTTAGTGATGGATAATTAAAGTTCAAGTTATATTTCATGATCTGACTTGTTGGTATTATTAGTGTCGTCTGAAATAAAAGTGTTCCTGTCCTCATCACATGTTTATAGTTGGAGTGTTAGTAATAGTAATCATCATATAATAACGAATACATCCCCCCCCCCCAACCACAAGTAGTAAAATGTTTCATGTCATATATTTGTCCAGGTCTACCTCAGAGACTGGGCAGTGACAGTTGATGTCCCTATATTATCAGTGGACTACTCATTGGCACCAGAGTTTCCCTTCCCTCGAGCCCTAGAGGAATGTTTTTATGCTTATGCGTGGGCCGTACAAAACTGTGAGCAGCTAGGTAAAGAATACAAAACAATTAGGTTTTTTTACATTTTAGTAGTGCTGCATGAACTGTCATTTCTTTTGCTGTGGCCACAGTAACAGGTAACTAATCTGCTGACCGTTAGGTAAAAAATAATTGGGTTTTTTTTTAAGATGATTTCAGGATAAAATTTATTAGAGAATGAAATTAAAATTCAGCAACTTTGCACAGGTTTTTGTTTCTAACAATGCATTTTGTGGTGAAGTACTAGGATAGTGTAGTCATACTCATATGGTAGAGCTACTAACCTGAAAGTCTTGAGTTTGTATCAGGGGCTCCAGCCTTTAGGAAGTCCCTGGGTCTACTCAGCTTTGACTGGTACCTGCCTGGTGTTAGTAAAGACAGCTAGGCAGTGTGCTGACCACACCATCCGTTCATATGCAAAGGTCACAGAAATAGGTGAACTCTAATTCATCTGCCCATGGGTCACCAGGTCCTGAAGTAATAGATAAATTTTGAGTCCAATCTTTGGGCCTCTGTGTAACATTCAGGACTCATAGATATCTGCCATCATTCAATAAAAGCAGATCGCAATTGGACATTATGCTCACCACTAAAGTTTTTTTTAAAATGTATACTGACATTTACCAGTATTTAGATCTAGTTAGAGACTAGCTATGTAAAACTATAGGCCTGCTATACCTATACTGCGTATAATGTCATAAGGCTTATTTTTATTATTTTTTTGGCTATGCAAAGTAGCATCTGTGAAAATGTTCCTCTTTTTGGCTTCAAATTCCTCTTTTTTTTATATGACTGCTCCTACTTTTGGCCGCCATGTGTAGGCATGTCTGATATTGTGTAGTTCTTCTGATTAGCAATTTAACTTCACTTGCTATCTTTAAAAAAAAATCCACCATCCCTACAATCATAAATATTATTAACTAAAAATGAAGAAGAAGAAGAAGATTAAATAAAATTGAATTTCAACAGGATCAACAGGTGAAAAAATTGTGGTTGTGGGCGACAGCGCCGGTGGGAACCTGGCCATATCCACAGCCATGAGAGCGGCCTCCTTCGGCATCAGGACGCCTGATGGGGTGATCTGTGTGTACCCGTGCACTGTGGTCAGGTACACGCCGTCCCCTGCCAGGCTGCTGAGCTTGTTGGACCCTGTGCTACCTGTTGGGTTAGTTACTCGCTGTTTGGCAGGTAAATGATGAATTATTTTAATATTAGGTTGATACAGAATAGTTTTAATACTACGTTGACACAAACTTCTAATATTAGGTTGATACAGAATAGTTTTAATACTATGTTGACACGAGCATTTAATATTATGTTGATACAGAATAGTTTTAATACTATGTTGATACAGAATAGTTTTAAATACTACGTTGACCAATTATTTAATATTAGGTTGATACAAGCATTTAATTATAGGTTGATACAGAATAGTTTTAATACTATTTTGAAACAAACACAAAAATTATTAGATTGATACGGAATAGTTTTAATACTACGTTCACACAAGCATTTAATAGTAGGTTGATACAAAATGATTTTGATATTAGATTGATACAGATTTTCAAAAATATTAGTTTGGTCCAGAATTATGTTAATGTCTTGATACATAATAATTTTAATGTTAGGCTGTTACAGAATAACTCTAATTCTAGGTTGATGCAGAATAATTTTAATACTAGGTTAATACAGTATAGTTTTAAACTTTGCTTCATAGGTTGTCAGACGTTCTTTTTTGTACTTATTTGAAAATTTGGACAGAATTTCCTCCAACACAATTAACTTGTTATGCTCCATATAGCCTGTTGGCTCTGATTTCCGCTTGCTTTTTGGATTTGCTTTCATAGCCTTTGTCCACCCAGTACAAACTACAAGGCTGTTAGATCTTAATGGGAACTTAATTTACCACTATGCTTAAATTAGTACAGTAATTTATAAAGTTATTGTTATTTTTTTTTTTTGGAACAAGTTTATGCATTTGATATTAAACCTCAGGGTTAATTGCAATTTAACTGAATTTACAGCCTATGCTGGTATCAACGAGGAACATCCCCTGTCCACACCAAAAACAGAAGATGTCCATTCTGAAGAGAGCCTAACTTGCCTCAAGCTTGGCTCATACGAGTCTTCGGACAAAGAGTGGGTGATAATTGCGCAAGGTCAGGACGGTGTGTCTACGTGTAACGCTGGAGCTGAGATGCCACCTGGAGGTGCTGACAAGACAAACAACGACGAGATGTTTTCTCAGCTGTTGCACAATGGAAGTTGTGTCTTCCCATCAGGTGTGAGTGATGGTTCTTGTGGTGGGCAACAAGCTGGTATGAAGGAAGCTCAGTGTGCATCACCCCTGGAAATTCCTGCCATTCAGGAACAATCCAGCCTGGCCTCTTGTAAGATATCAAACAAAGAAGCAGCTGCGATGGCTATTGGTCGGTTTCAAGAAAGAGCTAAAGTAATGATGGAAGGCGCTCACAACTTTTTTTCATCTTTCATCCCGAGCGGCAGCGATAAATCGGTTCAGAGTTCGCTGGCGTCATTTCTACATCCAAAAGTTAGCTCTCAGCCAGTTTCAGACTCTGTTGATTTGTCCTCTGCGTCGTTAAACGTCAGCACACAAACTCTCAATGCCAGTCAGCAGGACGACCCAACAATCTCGTGCAATGATGAAGACGATGCGGTTTTCAATACTAAAGGTTCCTTACAGTTAGTTCTGATTAAAAACGTCCCTGTTTCTCCTGACGCTTGTTTCCCCGCCGGTGATTTGTTGTCACCCATGTCAGACTTGACGTCATCGTCACAGTTTGACTCTTCCCAAGCTTTTGATACAGCTCTGTCATCACCGTACTCACCAACTGGACCCAATGAGCCTTCAGGTATGATTATGGACATTGACGAAACCAAAGAAGCCCAAAGCCCACAACTATTAGAAAATGATTCTGTGATCTCGTGGGATAAGACAGGGGAATCACCATCTCAGGAAGTCCCAGAGACCAAAACAGTGACTTCTTGTGAAGAATTAGCACCAAAACTATCACAAGAGGTGAATTTAGAACCTTTAGACCATAGAGAAATTGAAGATATGGAAGTGACGACTTCCGATCCAACTACAGAACCACAGTGTCAGGATATACGTAACAATGTGCCAGCAGTTAAAACCACAGAACCACTGATAGACATAAATTTAGAGGATACAGATATGATACCATCTTGTAAAACTACTGAACCAATGTTAGATTTTAATTTAGAGGTAACAGATCCAATACAAAGTTATAAAACTACAGAAACTACAGATATAAATTTAGAGGATGCAGAATTGAAACCCAGTAGTAAAACAACAGAACCACTGATAGACATACAGCTAGACGATCCTGATCGGAGACAATCTTGTAAACCTACAGAACCAATGCTTCAGGAAACACTACCGGCAGAGGGTGTTGCAGATGATCATTGTAACGTGGGGGCATTCTTGTGTCACGAAGACCATTCAAGTGGTTCGGGATCACCTGACATTCTATCTGACCTCCCAGACGAAAGCAAACTGCTCTTAGCCGATGCCATCAGTGACATGTATGCAGATCAGGACCCTAATAGCGCACCCAACCCGTCAAACGAGAACCAGCCCAAGGTACCAACGACGTTAAATTTAAGTAAAAGTTCCATGCTGTCTGGCAGTTGTACATCAATATCAGTGGCCTCTGAGAGGAACTCACCCACCCCAATGTGCAGCTTATCCTCTAGCAGCAAGACTGGTTTTGTGCGCAGTGAGTCTGCACCAGTGCTAACCGGTGGTGATGTGTCCGCACCTTTTTCCACATCTGTCTCTGCGCATGGATTTCCGCACACACCAAAGGTATGAAGACATTTTTAAAGATTTTCAACTTTTTTTAATATTCCAACAAATTTTTATTTTTTTTTGGTTGTAGAAAAGACATGTTCCACATTTGAGGTGATATTGTACCATGAAGCTGTATAGCAAGTAGAAATTATACTTGGATTCCCTTACTCAACTTAGGTTTTAAGAGTTGGTTTAGAGTTATGGCGTGGGGACGGAGTGGTCTAGCGGTAGAGAGCTGAACTGCTAACCCGTAAGTCTTGAGTTCAAATCCGGTTTCAAGTCAGTAGAGAGTCCCAGAGTCCACCCAACTCTGATGGGTACCTAACTCACGTTAGGGAAAGTAAAGGCGGCTGGGCATAGTGCAGACCACACTATCTCTTCATATGCCAAGGTCATCAAACACTTGCCCCATAGACCGTCAGGTTTGAAAGGGAAACTTTAGAGTTATGGCAGGATCTATGATTAGAAAAAAAGGTTAAGTTTGGGTTAAATAAACAGATTATAGTGATGCGATTACCAAAACCTAAAAGAGATTGTTCCTTCTAAAGTTTCTACCATCATCACCACCACAAGTTATTTAATTGTATCAGCAGCTCTTCCTTATCATGTCTGGCATTCAACAGAAAAGTTTTTCTATATATAATATTTATTACAAGAGTATTTATTTTTTTAAAACTGTGTTTTTCTTTACTTATCTCATTTAGTTTAAAACTGTTTGAGCTCTTCTTTGTAAAATTTGTTCAACATGCAGTTTTGTATTTTTTTTTTAAAATAGATCATTTTTGTGCGTTTTATTTATCTGTCAACAGATTTCCATGTCACCGACAGATTTTGGCAAGATATCGTTTACATGCTACAGTCCACTTCATAAACTAAGGCGTGCTGCGGTGGTGAAGAATCCATACATGTCTCCATTGTTGGCACCTGATGACCTTTTACAAGGCTTGACCAAAGTCTGTATCGTGGTGAGTGAATGTAATTGCATTAACTAAATTTGGTGGTGGGTTGACTTTGTAGAATGACAAAACTCATGAGTTGACTTCATAATTACAAAACTTGGTAGTTAGTTGACTTAATATAATGGCATAATATAACAGTGAGTCATCTTAATGTCAACACAAATAAATGCACGTCTGAAATTGAATTTGCAGGCTGACAGATGCTTACAAATCTCAGCGATGAGTTGACTTAAGAGACTAATGAAACTCAGATCTGAATTGACTTGATATTAGCACCAACTAAAGTCATTGTTGAAACTACTAAAAATATTCAGTGGGTTATCTGACCAAATTATTGATGTTAGTTAATTAAGTTAAAATTACCTGTTTATTTTTAACAGTGTATATACACTGTTTTCAGTACACTATTGACTGATTCTGACCTCTACAGGGCCGCCATATTTTTCCTATACTTGCATTATGTCCAACATTCCACCATTAACTTGTTAATCTTGATAAAAATCAACACCATTCTTATAATATCAAAAGATGTGCTAAAATATGTTGACTATTTATTAGAAATTAATGAGCATTAAGCTGAAAGGACAAAATGGTCTGATGCCAAAGTGCTTGACAGTTAACCCAAAAGTCTTTAGTTCAGATCTCAGGCTCAAATCTGTAACACAGCCCCGAGACCACCCATCTCTGATGGGTACCTGACTCACAACATTACATGCTGTGGTCATGAAATGGATGAACTTACTTTATTTGCTCTATGGATCATCAGGCCTGAAAGAGGAACATAACTTTTTTGCCTTATTGAGATAGTGCGGCTCAACTGTTTTTGTGACAATTTCACTAGCCCTTTGGCTTGTGTCGGAACTAAAGTTCCATTATCAAACCTTACTGTCCATGGGGCAAGTGAAGTAGGGTTCACCTGTTTCTATGACCTCTGCACATGAAGGGTTAATGGGTTCAGCACTATCTCTAGCCACCTTTTTGTTTCCCTAATGTGAGTTAGGTGCCTATCAGAGCTGGGTGGACTCAGTGATGTTCTACTGACTTGATCCCAGATTTGAACTCCAAATTCAGGTTAGCTGTTCTGCACTCCACTGCAGGCCATGCCATCTCTACACTCCAGACTTTGGAGCTGTCAATTGTGCACTAATCCATGCTAATCCATTCTCTTTTTAAACTTTTGTCTTATTTTTAGGTGGTGGGCTACATTTATATGCAACATTCTTTCTGTTTTATGACAGTAAACTTTGCATTGGTATAACTAATATGACAATACAGTTTTTGACAATATTCTTTCTATGATTGTATGTGGTTTCTAATCCTGTAGCAATTTTTTTAGCGCAATTTCCATTCTGGAGAATTGCGTTTATTAACCCGTCATTTCTGGATGTATGAATGTTTGAATGAATGGATGGATGTGTGTCCGCAGCTTTAAGTCGTATCTCCTCCTCAACGAAGCAATATCGATGACTAGTTCCAAAAGCAATTATGTTAAGCAAGTTACGAGGATGAGCATAGGCCATAAAAATTACGGGTTTCTTTCATGGATTTCCCGGAAAAGCCAAAAAACCTCGAAAAAAAAAGCAGTTTTTGGCCCATATCTCGGCAACCAGACCACTTAGCGACTTGAAACATGTACCAATCGATTCCTGCCATAATTTAGAACAATATTGCCGAAGAAAGTTTTCAAAAATATCCTTTCGTTGGGTCACAAAATTTTTTTTGAATTAATTAAAATTTGGACCGAATTAGTAAGCATATTTATCCAACCACACCACACGCGTCATCACGTTCAATAGCTGCGCCATCACGTTCAATGGCTGCGTCATCACGTTCAGTAGGCGCGCAATGGTTTTTAGTCATGTAACTCTATTGTAAATAAAACATGTAAAATACAGAATTTTTAAAAAATAAAAAACGTTTTAATAACTAAACAATGGTTTTACTAACCCTGCTCTTGATTTACACTACGACAGAGCTATTTTTAGATAACATAAGGAAATTGCGCTTAAATGTCACTAGACTTTTTAATTAACTTGTTTTATCTTCCTCAGGCATGCCACTTGGACCCACTACTTGATGACTCTGTCAGTTTTGCCAAGCGGCTGAAAGCGCTGAATGTCCCTGTGGAGCTCCATCTCATCGACGACCTACCTCACGGCTTTCTCAACTTTGCCTTGCTAAGTTTCGAGGCCAAGAAAGCTTCTGAATTCTGTAGCAAAAAAATTGCCGACTTTCTGCAGTCAACTGGTGTGTAAAGAGATGGTATTGTGATCTGCCAGTAGGTCAAGTCTTTCAGCATTCTTTGCAATCTGTATTGTGACCATGCTCCACAACAGTATTTATTGTATTACGGTATTTATTTGATTTTTTAGAATTAAGATTTTAAAAGTTTTATATTATTAAAAATAATTCTACATTTAATTTTATTGATGCAGGAAAAAAACCCATTGAAATGAATGATTTTTAAAATTGCGAATTTCCTATTGTCAAAAACAGTAGGTCTTTTTACATATTTTGTCAGTTGCCTTCAGATTTTAATATTTCCTATCCGAAAAATACTTGCTAAAGTGTTGAGGAGTGATTGTGGAGTTTGCAATAAAGTTATACAAATGGTATATTCTTATATCTTACAACTGTGATGCTTATTTATACAATCTGTACTTAAGTTTTTCAACTCTTCTTTCTTATATGGTTTTCTTATTCATCATCACTTTAGAAGCAAGGTACCAAACCTAAGCCACTTGATAAACACTAATGTTAATGGGTAAAAGCAATATCACTATTAGCCACACTAGCACTTTAAAGTGTGGTTTCATGTAGGCTTACCTGGTGTGAAAGGGTAGAACTACTTTTGAACAATTTACTGATTATAATTATAATCAAGTTTTAAATGAGATAAGAATAGGTAGTCCAAACTGGCAAAAAAGTGCGTTTTAGGGTCAGTTTTTGCGGTTTTCAAAAATAAAATTTCACTACTTCTAGTTGTCCTATAAGGATAAAAATTATATGTCAATAAAGTTTAAGCCTTTATCTGTCGTAATCTGGTATTTGTATATCTGTAACATAAGTTTGAATGTGTTTTAGATTTGTTTGAAAAGTATCAGTTACGTCAACAAATTTCACCGTTTTGCGTGTACCGATCGACCCCACACTGTTTCATTTGGTTGCGGCTTCGCGACGAAGCATCGTAGAAGCATAATCTTAATGTCATTTTAAAGAGCGAATTCTAGTCTATCGTTTGATGTATAAATTGAAAAAATAACTTGCTTATTTCATTTAAAAAAATCAGTTTTTAAACTTTAAATGACGATATATACACGAAAACAAACTAATTCTGTTTCAATCTTTACACCGATGTAAAGTTCACTTTTATAACTACTTTGTGTTGTAAATTCAAGTCTTTCTGATTTACGGTCGCGAAGCCGTACCCTCAATAAGCATATAACCCTCGAGTCAACTTTCAGCCCCGAGTCAGTTGCTCGCCGAACGGTTTTAAAGGTTGACGACCGATGATGCTAAACGGATTTTACCCTTGCTAGAGCCTTCAAACAAGTTGTAAGTATCATTTTTAAAGTTTCATTTCCATTTTAATAAATGAATTTTAAGTTTGAATGTCAGTTTGGTTTAATTAGCACACGTTATTAATGTAAATTTGAACCCTACTAGTCAACGGTTTTAGCGTGTGAACTACGCTTGTACACAGGGTGTGTTTAAACGTGAAGCTATTTAATTCAGGACATTCTAGGGACTTGAAATATGGATGCACTTAACTATTAGATGCTAGTGTTTACTAATTCTTTAAAATCTATCGAATGGGATTAATGATAGGGTCGTATTACTACAGTTTATCTGGACTATCGCGTCAAAATTATGAATCGACAAATTCAAAATGGCCACCAGACATTTTTGGTTACTATGTGGACGAACTCAATTATTTACAGGGAACAAAGGTTAAATACTTATAAAATATTATTGAAACACAAAAGAAACTTATAATTGTAATAACTATACATTTTTATCAATTTATTTAAAACAAAAGACACTAAAGTTTAAGGACTAATGTGATTAATTTTTAATTTTCTGTTGTGCACTTTGATTCTGATTCCCCTGCTGAATAATGTGAAATAAAATGTACCAGATCAATTTTTAGATGGTGGTGCAATTTAATAAGATTGTACATGTTGTGACTTAGTTTTAAATGTTATATTAGTTGTAAGTGTAAGTAGTACTTCTCATTATTTATTTATTTTATATGCATATAGTAACAATGAAGGACAGTTAAGTTGTCCTATATGATGTTGAGAACTACAGTATGGCACCTTCATCATTGGATATCTCAACCATTGTGGCACAAACAACGAATATTTCATTCAATAGAATTAATGTTCAAAATATACTATCAAGTTTACATTTCTTTAAACAAAAAGGTGTTTTCAGGCTTTTTCATGTTTCCAGCTACAGTCACAGGATAAATAGTAGGCCTACAAAATAGGCTAGTAGTAAATCTAATTATATTTTATTAATCACTAAATCAATTATTTATTCCATAGCTGGAGACATTTATGGTGGCCTATCCAGAACTTTCCTTACAAGGGAAGGGAAGAAGGCCAAGCCCCCCCCCCCCCCCCCCTACAGTTCCCAAAACATATCACTTACTCTTGATGCTCAACAAGATCAAGGTTGGGGGTAACTAGACATACAAAGATGTGGAGTTGTCGTTTTAAAAACTGTTCCCCCAAAGCAGTTATCAACCCAATAGGTTTGAATGTAGCAGCAACTGCTGCATTACTTGTAGGCATCACGTCTTTATTAGATTACATTACATTACTCCACTAAATTTTGATTCTGTTTCTCCTGCTCTAGATAACTGTGGCATTTTTTTAAAATAATATTTTAACTCATGTGATTTTTGAAAATAATGAACACATTATTCCTGTTAATGTTACCAACAAAATAGTTTTAGAGTTATTCTATGTCCAAAGCAAAAAAAAAAATTAAAAAAAAAAAAAAAAAAAAAAAAAATTTGAAAATAAAAGTGACCAAAACGCATTTTTGTCATTTTCAATTATTTTTTTACCTTAGAAAGACTCATTTTAGATGACTGAAAAAAATTGGGCATATATATTACAAACTTTGCAGTAACCTTACCAATTTCTACACTTCTATGTTATTTAGTTTAGAAAATATGGGTTCTCAAAAATGGCACTTTTTAAAAATCAGTTTTTTACCAAATTTTGCTTTTTTAAAAATCGCATAACTTTTTTATTTATTAAGATATTTTTATAAAATTTGTGGCATAGAGCTTACAATTAAAAGTTCTTTCATGACATACTCACTCCAGAAGTCTGCAATCAATAGTTAATTTCAGTTTGGACTACCTAATAAGAAAGATGCTTATGTATAACCACATAAAGTTTTGTAAAAACTTCCAGCTAGCATGTTATAAGATCTTTAAAAGTTGGCATTACTCTTTGACTAAGATTTTTAAAATATTGTCGGTAATGTAATGTTAGTTGAGAAAAATAAAATGGTACTGAACTACTTTGTTCTATTACTCTAAAGGATTATCAATCAAAGCACTGTTTAGTTCATTATTTCAATTTTAAAATTATCTTTTTGATAAGTGCATAATATTCACACTTTTTTTAATAAGGAGCTTGGACTGATTCTGCTTAGTGAAATAAATACACTACAGAAAGGAAATATTTTATTTTTAGGTTCATGTTATTCTTTTTCTAACTATATTGTTCTCAAACTGAAGTTGTATGATCTTAAAAATTCTCTAGGAATAATACATAATTTGTTGAATCCTGTGATTTATTTGAAAATAGTTTTTTTTAAATCTATAAAATTATTTAACACAATGAAAACTTCATTGTGTTTATTGAACAATAAATTTGTATTTATAAATTTGATTCTGGTTTGCTTTGTAATTTTATGGAAGTATTTCTGTTTCTTATTGTGCCATACTCATCACAATTGCTTTAAAGTATTTAAAATGAGTCTTTGAGTGGAAAAAGATATGCAATAATATTTTTGTTTAATTCACATCCTTGTTACTGACTTAGAGCTATTATAAGATACTTAATAATTTTTTTTTTTAAAAGTAATAGAAAGCTTTAAATTAAAAACAAGTTCACATTAGTTTCTTTCCCTAGATCTTTGTACTTGTGATTTATGGTTTTTGTGTGTACTCCTGCATATTTGTAATTGTTTTTGGTAGACATTTCAATCACTTCTGTCATTGTTACTTTTCAACTGGTATTTAAAATGGGATGGGTAGAACTACTACTTTAAGAGGTGTCAACTGCTATTTTCAAATAAGTTTGTCAATTAGTTATATCTTGTTCTACACCATATTAATTTGTATATTAGTTCTCTTTTTCCTCACATAACACATGGTATTTATAATATTTGATAAATAGCATTTTCTATTATTTTGGGTGGTGCTACCTTTTGATTTACTTAATATAATATTGACCTGGTATTTCTTGACAACTTTTACCTAGATCTATTGCTGCTATATGAATTAAAATTGTGACTGTCAGTTGTATCAATAAATACTTTTCATTATATCTGTGTTTGATGTCAGTAAGCTTTTACCATGTCTGACTGTAGTTAAATGACTATCAAAAGTAGACCAGCATAAGTGAGAACTAGAAACTTCACTTGCCCATTCATGAAAAGTCTAAATAACTTTTTAGAATCCAGTTCTAGAGGGCAGCCATAGATTTGAAACAAAAAAAAAAAGAAACAAATGCAATTCAAAAGTTATTGATTTTATTGAATTAACTTCAGATATGATCTTCTCAAACTGTGTATGAACACAAGAGCTCTCTAAGAAAAAAAACTACAGGTTCTTTCATTTGCTGATTTCAAAATAAAATGAGCACTGTTGCAAAACAATTCCTGGCTTGTACCTTTTATTCAGTATAGCAATCACAAGGTTTTTTAAATGTTAAAAAACCATAATAATGGAGTATGATAGCAATGGTAGGTTACAGCCGAGCTGCCATCCACTCAATTTCAATACAGACAGGAAAACATTCATAGCATCTGTTTCGCTCATGCGAACAAACAGGTATCATTCAATAAATGCTTAGTTTACTCTACCAATCTAAACTAACAAAGCTGAATGCTTTTTTTCCTCTGTGTATTTTGGTTCTTGCCTTTCTAAAACAAGTTTTTAATAAATTAAAAATCGCGTACAGTAATATTGAAGCAACTTATGATAAAACACAAATTCAGCTGTTTTAAAATGCATTGTATCAATATATAAAATGGATAAAGTAATAGGGTTGTGCTGACACTTCTGTATCAGGTTTAGTAGCCTAGAGTGCTCTAAATTGTGTAGAATAACACAAGCATTAATCAGTTCATTCTTTTCTATATACATTAAATGATCATGCCACAGTATAGATATATGCTTGTTTTGTACAGTTACTAATTATGAAGCCTATTTTGGTAACAAAACTATGTACACTATTTCAGTCATTCAATAAAGTGTCAAATTTTAAGAATATAGCAAAACTATATCAACTTCAATGAAAAAGACCAAATTCACTTAAAAATATAAAAAAATCTTGCAAAGAATGTTATTCTTCATACAAAACAAGATAATAATTTAGTGATAATGAGAATAATCAATGGTCAACATTCTACTTAGATTTTTAAAAAAAACATTCTTGTTCTTTAAGCCAATTTTTTTTTTCTTCATATTACCAGTATTAATATATATACATCACCAACTTAGGCTTTTCAAACATTATAAACAAATGAATCCAATAGTTTCTAATTCTTTAAAAAAAAAAAAAAACCTAAACTAAAATTTCCTCATCCAATTATCATGCCAATACCAAAGCGATACTGGCTTTTCACATGGTTACCATATCCACTAAGTGCTAAGGTAAATGGAAAGGGAGCCAGCTTTTTTTCTATTACCGCTCCTATGCACCAGTTGCTATCCAGTTGACCTGCAAAGTATACAAATGCCTTGAATTAGTGATACTGTTCCAGCTGGTATTTGATAAACAGTGCTCGTATTATACATAGTTAATTTCAATACAAGACAAATTTAATAAATCAATTATCTCTGGTTACTTCTTATCAAATTGACTATAACCAGGTGTAACAAAGAAAAGTAAAGAATTGTTTCTTCACCACAACCCTGACATGTTTGATTAGCAACACATTTTATTCTTTTTAAAATCGTAAGTCTTCTTCTAAAATGGTAAATTTGAAACAGTTGTTATTAAATCAAATTTCTACATACCTCTAAAAACAACATCAGCTTTAGGAATGTCTATCTGATAAGCAACAGTTGCTGTGCTTTCAGCCATCCGTATGCTTGTTTCTAATTCCACTCCAACCTGGAGCGTGTCATTGACTTTTTGATAGAAGCAAGTATGAAGATTGCCTGCCATCGGACTCAGGTTAGCACTTAACTGCCATTTATCTCCTATAGAAAATAAATTTTTTTTGTTGCATTATTACTTTCATACTATTAAATGAGTGGTAAAACAATAAAATACATACAATGTGCGAAGATTTCTTACCTGACCATCGCCCAGCTAGGGACATTATAGCTATTTCTCCACCAGGAACCTGTTGCCCACGCTGGTACATGATTTCAGCACCAAGAGCAAGACTTGGTGTGATGCGTTGCAGGTAATGAGCAACTAGTAATCCTGGAGATGAAACCATATCAGAAACTGTCATCTTTCCTTATATCTATACTTTTTAAAAATCGAGCTATTCCAAAATGATAACTTTTAAAACTACCACATTATCAATGGTAAAAGAATGAAGCAATAAATACTTCAAAATGGCAGTCAAAAATTTAAAAAAAAAAATAACTTTTCTCCAGCTAAGAGCTTTTATGGTCTAGATTTATGTACGGTCAAGGATAGAAAGTAGTAGTGGCGACACCAGCAAATACTTTAAAACACTGATAGTAAAATTTACCTGAAGACGACAGAGGATCCACATTCCCTGTGGTTAATGAAGCAGTAAAGTCATCTCCTTTGTAATCTAGTGATACCTGATGCCCCACACATTTGTTGGGTTGAAACTACAAGAGCAAGTAATTGATAACCTTCACATGATTGAACCAGAGCAGACAAAATGTAAACAAAACAAGAGTGTTTATTGGAAACCAAATTAAATATATCAAACTAAAATTAGCAAAAACAATCCACAATTGTCTGCAATAAGTTTTAATAAATAGTTGATGACAAACCTGTGCTACAAGCTTTGCCCTAATTCTCTGGTTAATAGCATGGATAATATTTGCATTCATATTTCCACTAGAGTCAATATCTCCTAACAAGACGGGGAAAGACTGAAAAAAAAAACATTTTAAAATAAACATAAAGCTAACTTTAACACCTAATCAGCGACTGCATTTTTATTTTGATAATTAATGTATATGAGAAATAAAAACAACATTTACAAGATGAATAATTATTTTTATACACAATTGCATATATATTTCAAGATTTCGACCACATAGCATACCTCTGTTGGTGAAATCTGCTTTGTGCCAATGTATGTTGTACCAAAACGATAGACAGAAGGCGTAAAGGTGCTAAGTGTAATGGTGTGACTAATCTGAAAATGGCTACTTAATCCTTTGGCCACTATTACTTTAGCTCCTTCAAAAACTTGAGGAAAGAGTTCTGTTGGGAAATTTTAAAAAGTAAGTTATATTAATTCATTACATTTATTACAGATTTTTAAACAAAGAAGCAGGTTTTACATGATAGTTACTATTCAAAGTGTGAGTCAGCAAAGGTAGATCAACTAATAAGACAATCATTCAAGCAACATAAGTTCATGACAAATCTATTTACTTTCATGCATCATAATATCAAGTTAAAAACAAAATTACTTTGACTTAAAGTTTTAGGCTTTAACCGATCAAATTATTTCAATTTTAAGCCTAAATCAATTAGAATAGATTCATTTTATCTTTATACAAAATGCTGGCTTCTCCAAAGCATCATATTGAATATGTAAAGAAAATAATCTGGCCTATATATCTAATATCTAGATTAAAAATCAACTAAACAAAAATGAGGTGCCAATGTTAATCGATAAGTCTTTCTAGATATATATTTTTACTAAGCTTATTAACAGTTCTTTTGAATTACTTTCTAAATATGCATATCTGACACACAAGTTTTAAAATCAATTTATTCAAAATAGACCTAAATAATATAATTCTAAAAAAATATTGCAATACAAAATAAAAGAAATGATAAACAACAAGCTCGTGTCAGTTGGATTGCCAACCAGTAAGAACAAACCTTCTTGATTTTGTGTGTGTAGGCGATTTATTTAATTCCTGAGGTTTTAAAACGTGTTTGGGCCTAGCATTTTTTTTAATTTTATGATTGATATACTTTGCAATGCAATAGTTAGATAGGAAATACAGGGTGCCTCAAGATACAAATTTTGTTCATCCCACATGCAATAATTTTCTGGGATCTGAAAGCTATTTTTTTCCCCTATTTAAAATAATTGAAATGCCATGTATCTGTTCTAGCCCAGAAAAAAAATAATTCAAGATTTGCTTGACTTTTCACATGTAATGCCCTTAACTGAAATATAGATTTCTGTTTAGCACTCATTTATTGATTTCAGTAGACATCTTCTAAGTCAATGTCCAGCAATGGAATAATATGACACCTGCTCCTCCATATTACATGCATTTCATTGGCCATTGTCGGATCATGACATATCCCAAAGAATAATATACCCCATCAACCTTATTTACTGCCGATCACTCACCTTCCCATTCACTTTCTACAGACCCATGGTTATAAAAAGAAAAGTTAACCATAAATGCACAATTTAGTGTTTGAAACTAAAGAAAACCACAAATCCGGTTGGACTTTTTAACTGGCTATGCACGAGAGTTCCTCACTAGTAATCAACATAGTGGTCATGTGGTTTTGTTTTTATTTGGTTGTCATTTTCTTGGCCAGTCTTAGAAAAAAAACGGCTGCCAATATTTAATTTATTTTTTCATAGACTGATAAACCTAAAAATGCTTTACAATGGAAATCATTTTTGTAGGCCCCTAATATGGAAATCAATATTTAAAAAGTTCTATTATTTTAATGAGACCAAGTTTTACATTTAGCCCTCATTCTCCAAAAATGATTTTGAAATGTTTTTCTGGCATATATAGCCCTGCCACCTATAGTTTGTTGTTATAATGTGAAAATTCTGCCATTTTGCTCGTGGTAAACATTGTTTAAAGTAATTCATAGAAGGTCACTGGAATTTGGCGAAAAAATTGTCAGAAGTCATTCATTCTGTTTGAACGCCATATTGTTGTAAGCAACCAGCCCTGTCTCCAGGTTAGCTAGATCTAGTAATACTATGACATGCTGATCCTGTTTGTTATTTGTTTTTGGAAACTAGAATCAATAATAATGTAAATATACAAGCTAAATATCTCAATTATATATTAATTTAGAGTAGGTCGGGCTGTTTTCCCAGTTGGTCGGTCATTTTAAGCGGCGGTTCAGTTTTTACGGAGAGCGCTCCACTAGAAATCCTCTCATTATTTACAACCACAAATCTCTCGATTTTTTCTGGCATTCTAAGGCATATTAACCATTTTATTAGCATTTTGCATTAAAATAATGATGAGAATTTGCGAGATTAACAGTTTTTTCATTTGTTGTGGATAGTAGCTAGGCCAATGCAAAAATTTAATTTCAATAAAACAATATAATAGTTACATATTTGGATAGGGGCTGTCAATCTGATTACAGATCAGTTTGAATTTTCAAAATCTGACCATAAACAAAAAAGTTATGAATTTTTTAGTCATTAAAAAACAGCAGTTTTTTCAGACAACCGGGGTAGACCCTGAAAGAGGAAAAATACTGGGAGGGTATGGACCAAATTTTTAAGCGTTTTTCACTAAAAGTGGTATAAAAGCCAGAATACTTAATCAATTGATGTAATTTTAAGACATTTTATAGATTTTTGTATGCTGAATCCAATGATGCTATTTTAAAAAGTGTCCTTCGATTACTCAACCTACAAATCTCATAGATTATGTAATACCCCCCTTTCAATTTTTTTTAAACATCTAATAATCAATGTGATAAGAAGTCATTCTTTAAATGTAACGCTGTTTTAATCTAAAATATGACATTTGTATATGCTCAAGCTAATGGTAGATTTAAAATGGTCCAACATTGTTACATAACTATCAAATGTTAAGGTTATGTCATCCCACCCTTTGCTCAAAATATACCATGAATTTGTTTTAAAATCACTTTTGCTCATTGTCAGTTAACTTCAAGTTAATAGCCTACTAGAAGAAAATATAACTAATCAAGTTTTTCAATACAAAGAGAAGAATGCTATAGTAAATTTGTGATTATTTAACTTCTTAAAAGATGTTATGTAATCTATGTGCAATACTATAGGCCTACTCTGTTCCAAAAATGGCCTATCTCATTATAATTATATTTCTTGTTATTTTAAATATCTTAATCCTTTTTGCTATAGAATTAGTCTAGTTACAAATGTGTCCGATCAGAATCAGAGTGTGCTTTATGGTAATTACGTAATATTATTACCCATATTAAAGTTAATCATTTTTACAATGTCAATAAAATAAACTTTGGAGGAAAAAATTTTTTTTAAAAACTTGCACAAGATATAGTTAAGTTATAGATATATAACATAAATTTATATTTATGCCCAATGTTTATGCTAGTAGTAAGTAGGTTTATGTATTTTGTAAGCCTACCAGTAGGCCTTTTACAATTAACAACTTTCTTAAGAAAAAAGCATGTGTTTCAGTGCTTGACTGTGTAGATCTCGTAGATTCTAGAAATTGTGTAAGATTACCGTGTTTGGCTATACACAGACACGTGTACCACCACCAGCTTTTGCCTAGATTTAGTTCAATCAGACATGTGGGTAACCAGGTCTTCTGACCAACGAATTTTATTGCCCTATTACGTAAACACGACCGCTGGATAGGCTAGTCGGCCAACCCGATGAACGTGTCAAATGAATATTATGTAATCTCAGAGACAAAAGTCTGGCAAGATTTCCTGATCTATGCCCGAGGGTTAGTAACATCAACTCCACAAAGTGAAGGGGGAGGGAGGTGGGGTATGAAACCACCGTGTACCGTACTAGTGTTATACAACATCAAAAGCGATGCTCGTCGGCTTGACGCGTCACGGACTAGTGGGGGCGGGGTGAGGCTATGGGTGTTACATATGGTGTAGGATGGTCAGTGGCTACCCCCATCCACCCCACCCCATTTTGGTCGATTTGGCAAGCTAGTAACCCCCACGTTGTTAGTGGTAATAAAATTTGTAGAAAAGAGCCCCGGATGCAATTTAATTTATTTTTAAAGCCATTTTTACGAAAATGTAAATTGTAATGTACACAATAGTGAAACGTTACACGAATCACATCACAGCATTGTTTGATCGGGCCGAAGCTATTCGGATTAATTTCTAAAGAAGATTAATTTTGACGATTAGTCATCAGCCGTAAATACTATCAACTTTTGTTTGACGTTTCAATGGGTTAAGACAAAGTTATGCAACATGTCTGTGTGCTTATAAATATAAAGTAGCAATAGCCGTCGAGTCAAACACGGGAACACATGTATCTATCTTTAGACATTGTTTATAGTATCATCCAATCGGATCAAGCGCCTAGCGTCACGTGACCACACACTCGGCTGTGCCACACGATGTGTAGATCACCAATCAGTCGGACGGCGGCCGACGCGTTAATTTTTATTTTCGTTCGGTTTTAAAATGTATGGACGGCTTTATTACGAGATGCTATAATACATGTCATACATTAAAATAAACGTCGGGATTTCGGGAATACAGCTCAGGGTTCAAATGTAAAATATGTCAAATAATAGACCGGGAAACTTGGTTCAACTTTGCGGTCCGATATCTCCTCAAGTAATTAACTTATTTTGACCACGAACCCTGAGCGTTATACGTCTACATTTAATGTATTCGTCTGCCAAATGTAACTGTTGTAGTACGTAAACTCGATACGTGTATACAAATTTTGTAACGCGTCATCAGGTCAAAGACGGCGATTTGAAGCACAGCAGGGCGGTTCAGTCAGACAGCGGTCGGCGCGTCGTGTTTATATTTTCGGTCCACTTCAAAGTCTATAGACGTCCTTATTATAGGGCCTTATAGGACATATCATACATATTAATAAACGTCGAGATTTCAGGAATACAGCTCAGGGTTCAAATAAAAAATCGATCCATAAATAGCTCAAATAACTTAGTTTAACTTTGCGGTCTGATATCTCCGAAAGTATTTGACATATTTTAACCAAGAACCCTGAGCGTTATACGTGTACATTTAATCTATTCTTCTACCAAGTTTCACAGTTGTAGTACGAAAACTCACAGAGTCTATAGACTCCAAGTAACACCCCATTTTTAAAAAGGTGAAAAAGCCTCCCCCCTAATCGGCACGTCGCCGCGGAGGGTAAAAAATGCGATTTAATCGGCAATTTCTTCAACGTCTGAAATAATACAGAAATCAAACTAATAAATTTAAAAAGGTTATTCAATTACGAACAGAATGATGTATAACATGTTAATATAAACACAATAAAAGCATGCAAAAAACAGAGTTAAACATGCAAGGGGTAGGGAAAAGCCGATTTGTCCGATTTTCTCAGCAGCGGCATTGGCCTAGCTATGGATAGGACCCCTAAAATAAACGTAAAAACCGGCAGAAAACAATGCGTGACATTTCAGGGTCAGAGGTCAATCCTGCCATCTAAGCAACGAGCCAGACTATTATTTTTATTTCAAAAGGTTTCAGCGTTCTTATATTTCCAAGCATTAGATCATTTAGCTCAATTGCTCGTAATTCAAATATCTTTTAGGTTAGGGCACTCATGTTGATGTACCGTTTAATACATTAAAATATAGTGATAGTGCGACAGGCTACTAGATTTTCTACGATCTATCTTTTGACTTTCCTAGAGTCTTCTGTTGTCAGAACCTGGTAATGCTCTGTCACACTCAGTCTGTGCCACTTAGAAAATCTAGTCATTAGCCAGACTTTGATACATTTTAGAAACTATTTTTGGCCTGTATAAATTATTAGTAAAATAAGAAAAATACCTTTGGTCTGCTTGTGAAGATCTTCATATAAACCTGGATTTACATCTACTTCAACCGGTGGTACTCCAGCAGAACCTGATGTTTCTTTTACTTTTATTTTTTTTGGAATATCGGTTGGGGGGGAAGGAGGTAACAATGGTGGCGATGGTAAATCTGATGCAGATTTTGATAACTCCGCTGCACTAACATTGCCCATTTTCACTTATTTGTAGTGGGGCAGGTTGAAGGAAAAAACAGTTATCAGTGAACGGCACTTAGATGTTAATTTAGTTTGTATAATAACCTTCAACCGGACGCCATGTGCAAGTTAGAAAAGAAACAAATGCGTTGCGCATGACAATAGGAAGACGGGTTTGAAGCATCATAAAAACTAAACCCAGTAACGAAATGAAAATATTTACCAATCCTAACGTCCACAATTAATTTTAGCCCAATAAACGTAAACATTAGAGCCTATGAATAATATGAAATAATTAACATTCTCAAAATTATTAATATTGCAAAGTAGCTTCTTCTCTTTATTAGGCTAGGACCGCAAGTTATATGTGCAACGAAACATACTCTAACAGTATGCATTGATTGTTTGCAATGCATTATTTTGGGTGCACCGTCAAAACGGCCTGGGACATATCGGCGCCGTTAATATGACCCCGTCAAATCGAACCCCGACACAACGACCCAGTCAAAATAGTCCCGTCAAAAGGGCCCCGTCAAATGGGCTCCCATAAACTGGGCACCCGTCATATTGACTAGCGACTTATAGGCTCCCGACAAATAGGCTCCCGACATTTCAATTCCCGACAAATGGACTTTTGACTTATTGGCTCCCGACAAAGTGGCTCACGACATATTGGCATCCGACAAAATGACTCCCGGCGTATTGGCTCCAGACAAATGAATCGTATGACCACTATTGGTATAAAAGTAACCATTTTCTACTACCTCCACTACAACTATAACCTCTTTAAATGCCTGAATGAAATTGTTTTTCATGAACCAACATCAATTCACAAAAAAATCGAGCCCTTAACAGCTAAATGCCACCAATTCTAAAATTTTAATAATGTTTAATTTACAACAGTAAACATCTCTTGCTTAAAAAGCGAGCACAGAAGTGTAAATGTATCATATAGCCTACATGATGTTTACATGATAACGGCAATTTATTTTGATAAACCACAAGCGTACTGCAGGTTGGAATGTACAGCGTGGACCCCTCTCCCCACACTGAGTTGGAACAGTCTATAACGATTCATTTATGGAAGTCATAGATAGATTACCCTTAAATTAAAACATACTATTTCTTATAATAGATAAACTATTTTTAAAAATAAGGCCTGCCGAACAAGAGATGCATACGTTGTAATACTTAAGGGTGTCATATTCAATGAGACCGTTTTGCCGGGAGACTTAGTCTCTACGGAAACAGTATTGTCAGTGGTCCTTTTGTCGTGAGCCAAAATAACGGGAGCCTATTTGTCTAGAGTCGTAATGACGTGGGCCGTTTTGTGGAGAAACAAAATGGCAGGAGCCTATTTGTCGTTTGTTGAGAATCGTAATGACGGGGGTCGTTTTGTCGAGAAACTAAATGACGGGAGCCTAAATGTCGGGAGCCTAAATGATGGGAGCCTATTTGTCGGGAGCCTTATTGACTGGAGCCCTTTTGTTGGGAGCCTATATGACGGGATCCATATGTCGCTGGCCCTTTTGACGGGTCGATTTGACGGGGCTCTTATGTCGGGGCCGATTTGTCGGGGTCGTTTTGACGGGCCGTTTTGACGCCACACGCTTATTTTGTATTATTATAAGACACCCTTCCCATGACTGTTTAGTTAGCGATAACTTTCCAGTCATTAACAACAATAACCAGGGCTATATATATATATATATATATATATATATATATATATATATATATATATATATATATATATATATATATATATTATCATCATCATCATCATTCCTTTATGGCCCCTGGGGAGCAAAGGGCTGCAACCACACATCTCCAGCGGACTCGGTTTTGGGCTGCTCCTCTGATCTGTGCCCATGAGAGCCCAGCTGTTTTTGCCTCTTCCTCAACCGTTCTCTTCCATGTTTTCTTTGGCCGGCCCACCCTCCTTTTCCCCTGGGGATTCCAGGCCAATGCATGTTTTGCGATGTTTTCTTTTTCTTTTCTTAACGTGTCTCCGATCCATCCCCATTTTCGAGGCCTTAATATCTATCTCTATTGGTTGTTGCTTTAAAATTTGCCACAGGTCTTTGTTTGTTATTTTGTCTGGCCATCTTATTTTGAGTATATGACGTAGGCATTTGTTTACGAACGCCTGTAGCCTATCAGTATTTGTCTTCGTAACCCTCCAGGTCTCATATATATATATATATATATATATATATATATATATATATATATATATATATATATATATATACACTTTTATAGTAACAAGCTGATAATAGGCAAATAAAACATACACGCTTTCTTTAGTAAAAAGCTTTGTCGCTTATGAGATCTCTTACATTTCCTGCGATCAAAGCTTTTATTAAAAGAGAAGTGTTTGACAATGTTTCTTCCAGGCATCTCTCCTCGGGGGGGGGGGGGGGGGGGGGCGTCGCCCCCCCCCCCCCCCCCGAACGAAATGAAATTGATATAATTTATATAGAAAATTAACAGTGTCCGCCCCCCCCCCCCCCCCGAAAATTTCAAGTGCCCCCCCCCCCCCCGGAGAAAAAAGTCTGGAAGAAACACTGGTGTTTGATGAGGCTATTTGATGACACTTATTTATTAAAAGTGTTTGAAATGAAGTTGATACTACAAAGGCTACCACAAAGAATATTTCCATTAAAACATGTCCATAAAAACAACTTGCGATCTCTAAACGACAGTTATATGTCCCTACTTAGTTCGTTAGTAACTCTCATGCGATCAATCAGCCACCCGTGACAAAGACTAATTATATATCTAATTAAATTGAAAAATAGATATTCTTGCATTGTCCTCGAAGAATAGTTTAAACGAATTGCTGCATTAGAAAAGAGTCAAAATTGAACTACAAAATCTGCCAACCCACAAACGGACTTCGTGTACTAAGTAGAAGCTTATTGTAATAATTATTCCATCAATAACCCTAAATTTGTAGGTTATCCGGTTAGCCTACTTTTGGATTGGGGGGGGGGGAGACACAGGGTTTCTTTCAGACATTTTTCTAAGGGGTGGTGAAAGTATTTAAAACTTTCGGGGGGGGGGGGGCGGAGCGAGTGGTAGGTGTGCTCGTTGGCACAATAGGGCTGGTAAGTAGGTCACCAATCAGTTCTAAGTTCTATGGATCATACAGGTTTTATTGAGCCGTAGAACTGGTTGGTGACCTACTTACCAGCCCTATTAACCCCACGGCAAGATGCCTTAAAGAAAATCTTGGGTAGTAGGGGTGTCATCCGGAAATGACACAACATACCTTTATTGATACGAGTTAGAGGTAGTTTAGAGGGGGGGGGGGGGAGAGTGAGTAGGGACTTAAATGACGAAAGGGGGCGTTTCTTACTCTCCTTCTTAAAATGCAAATTAAGTTGTCCCACTTTCTGACCCCTCCCCCCCCCCTCATTAGTTGTTCCCTAGAACTGCGACGTCATTTATGGACAACACCTTACGGTTTCATATATTAAGAGCTGGATCCGGAGCAGTCGCCCATTTTGTCATCCCCCCCCCCCCTCCACATTTGAAGCACTTCCAACCCATTCCGGGGCTCGTGACGAACTTTTAATTTTGTCTCCCCCCCCCCCCCCCCCCCATGTTTAGGACTATAGAGTTATTTGCGTTGAATAAACACCCCAACCTTCAACTCCCATTTGGAAAGATCGGATGCTCTTTTTTTTTACAAGTCACTAACTGTGCCTTAAGAATGTGTATTTTTGATCACATGAGTGATGTAGAAACCATTTTAATAATAAACCGGGAGTGATCTCCCCTAAACTTTCTCGAATATTCTCATATAAAACAACAGGGGATGGGAACTCGGGCTATAGACATGATTTTTAATCCATTTTAAATACTTAAAGTTTTAAAAATAGAGTAAAATCTCGTAGACAAAAGAATTGCACACCAAGTGAACGCCAAATAAAAAAAAGTGCATAATAGTGCGCAATATTATTAGTACTTTAAAAATTTACATTAGTTTTTTGAGAAATCGGAAGTAGCGTAAATTACTACTTCCGGTCAACGGAAATTACTCAAAATTTAACAGAAGGTAGAGAATTAGATCTTATACTTACATGTGAAATTTCATTTATCTATCTGAAAAAGTACTCAAGTTATAGGCTTTTGAAAAATTCAAAGTAGAAAAAGTACCACTTCCGGTTATCGGAAATCGCTCAATACGGATCTACGATTTTGATAAAATACTTATATATGAAATTTCATCAACCTAGCTGTAACGGTACTCAAGTTATCGTGTTTACACACGGACACACACACACACACAGACAGACACACAGACATACGGACAGAATTGCAAAGCCCAGTTTTTCAGACTGGATTACGCATAAAACCTCTTAATTTTGATAAATCTGGATTGATAATTTTTGCCCGATTAAAATAAGTCCTCTATACTTCGGATGTGATGAAGGACTGAGAAGTAATACGGTGAAAATTGTTAAAATTTCAAGGGATTTTTGTGCACGATTACAATACTTTCTCTATATTTCGTATATACGAGAAAGTAAAAAAGGCCGTCAAGACAAGATTCAGTCTAGATTCCTCACTTCGACTGAGTTTAATTCAATAATGAAGCTCAGAATAAGATTTCAAATATGTTTTCTATCCCGTTTGGCGCCACTGTGGTCGGCTGCCGCCCCCCCCCCCCTAGCTACGCCTCTGGTCCACCCCCTACCACCGGCATCTGGAAATTTTAATTAGGCCTATTCAATATTTCTACTTCCATAGTAAGGGCGGAACCCACTGAGAACAAAAAGTGAAACTATTTAATAGTAGCCTCCCTTAGCATGGCCACGTCACTTATCACAGCGCAACTTATTTATGTTGAAACGAAATGTGATGACTAAGACTTGAAAAACTGTAACAATCTCATAAAACACTTTAATACCACCCACACCCCTCGTCGTTACAATTGGTCACAAGTAGTCAGACGATCTCTCCTAATATTATTTCATACCCCCCCCCCCCCCCCCCCCCCACCCAACAGAGTTTTTTTCTATTGAAATCAACATATTATTATTTCTGTAACATTATTTGATCGACTGCGTCAAGGTAATTTAAAAAAAAAAATCTTTTTAAAATGCCACACTTTAAAACTCTTCTCCCTTTCACAAAAACATATTCT